TGGCAAGCCATTGACAAGCCATTGACCAGTGTTTGACAATCGCACTCGTCCACTCCCAGCCAACCCGTCCCATCGACAAGTCAAACAGAAGGGCAAGGAGCAACATTGAAACTTTGTACCACCACCACCGTATTGAAATTTTTTTTTTTTTTTTTTTTTTTTTTTTTTTTGGCTGTTTTTAAATTTTTTTTTTTTTTGTTTTGTTAGCAAATTTTAACTTTGGCATTTTACTAGTAAATTTTTTTTGCTCTTCCTTCGTTGAATCAATCCTTTACTTGCCATTCTTGCCTTGCCAATCCGTTAATCCATTCTATTCGAGTCGCATCAGCTAATTCATTAGTGTTATTAGTCGTTTTATTGATTGTTTTCTTGATTATTAATCCCCAGTTGTATTGATTAATAAGTTTCATATCATGTCCTATATGGATGAAATACCTCCAGATGTCATATCACCAAATGAAGTGATTGATTCGAAAAATGAAGACAACCAAACAAAGGCAAAGTCAATAAAATCAGTTGATATGGTTGTTGCTATTTATGACTTCCCCGGGACTCAACATACTCATTTACCCCTTAATATGGGGGATACGGTTTCTATTTTGGCCAAATCGGATTCTGGTTGGTGGGACGGAGTGATTGTCACTTCGAAAAATGAATACTTGAGAGGCTGGATTCCGTCTAATTATGTTAGATCGGTCAATTACGTCCAACCTGTTTTAAATCAATTGAAAAATAATAAAGAAATTGATTCAATCACTGCTGCAAATACGGCGGCAAACGTCTTGATTCCTTCCTTCAATAATATCTTACAGAAAAACTTGTTTGATCTGGAAAGAAACTCTCCTTCAAATAGTGTTCGTAAGAATTCGGTGGTTTCATTTGCCAGCTCTGAAACAAGCATTCCGTCCGATTCCAAAATCAATAAAGATCAAAAAGATTCGACTGCATCCCAATCTCAATTACAAGTCTCTCATACTACCGATAACACTCCAACCGCATCGTTCTCGGCTCCAAGTATTGCCAGTTCCGGTAGTTATAGTGGTGCGTCCAACCCGGGCACTTTTGCCCACACTCTAACTCCAATTGACTTAAAAGATAATACTCCTTTTGTTTCAACCTCCGATGCAGAAAAATTGGCTAGTGAATATAAATTATCAAACCACCGCAATATCGTTTGGTTACCTCGTTTGAGTGGCTCGGGTGATGTGGTTTTTTTTTCAGAAATTTTAAATGTTTATTGTGAATCTTGTCCAATGTCTCCCTATATGCCTGATGTTGATGAAGATGAAGATGATGAGAAATTAGATTTACCTTCTAAATTGGCAATGAATGATAATCCAATTATAAATCATGATCTGGAATTTAATAATGATAATGATAATGATCAACAACAACAACAACAACATGGTCAAAATCAATCGGGCCAAAATCCAAAAAATTTCGATCCTTTGAAAAGAGATTCGACTTCTTCTTTACATTCTCAATCTTCAGGTCAAAGCTCTTATCATCATTTTAACCAACCATTTTTCGCAATTCCTGGTTTATTTTATAGTCATACAAATGATTTAATGTATTGGACTCAATTAAAAGAACGGTTTAATTATTTACTTGATTTAAGTTTTAAAGCTTTAAAAGATCATAATAAACAATTATTCAGTACTCATTTCACTAAATTAACAAAAGTTATTTCAATAATTGCTAGTGCTTCAAGATTGATTCAAAATGATTTCATTAATACTAAATATGAAAATTCAATTAGAAGAAAATTGAAAAGAATTGCTGGTGCTTATTCTCAAATTTATATTAATGGTATTTTACATTTAAGTTATATGCATTATTCTCAAGAAGCTTCAAATGCTGAATTATTTAGTTTTGATATTTCAAAATTAAATAAATCAACTAGCTTACCAAATAGTACTCTACAAAGTACTTCTTCTTCATTTTCCACTATTCGTCAAAATTCAAATGATAGTACCAAACAATCAAATGATACCGTTACTAATGATGCTTTGAATTCTTTTACTAATAATTTGAAAACTTTAAATTTAAATCAAGATAATGACGATGGTAATGATATCACGTATTTAAATCATATTCAAATTGAATTAGAAATTTTAAGATTGAATATAAATTCAATTACTAAAATTTTCTTAAAATTAACCAAAGATAAAAAAATTAAAAAATCGGATTACGATGGCTCAGATGCAAGTGATGATGATTCTGGTGAAGATCGTTATAATGTTTTACCTCAAGTCTACCCTAGATTTATAACAAATGAATTCAATGGTGGGAATTGGTGTAATCCTTTTTTCGCAACTAAAAATTCTGCTTTAAATGCTAGTGGAGATGACTTGAAAAATAGATATCATCTGAAAAATATCATTGATAAAGATGCTTATGATTCAATTAAAAAATCAACCGATGAAATGACTAAATTGTCAAAGGAAACTTTGGAATTTTTAAATCCTGACGTTCAACATAAATACTATAATGATGATTTGAAAAATGAAAGAAATACTCAAATCTTAAGATTGATTTATAAATATTTATATCATGCTGGTGTCACCATTGATTTAATTGAATCTTTTGATTTCACAGTGTTTTGTTTAATCAAAAGATATGCTTCAAATGAAAACATGGAATTTGAAAAAAATGATGATACAAAAAATGATGGTAACAATCCTCAGAGATCTACTTCTGGTGCCACCACTCTTTCTTCTAATGACAGTAATGATCAAACAAATGATCAAGATTTTAATTCAAGCCGTAATGATTCAACAAATGAAAGCTCCACTGATATCAATACTACAAATAATTCAATTAGTACTATTACAACTGCTCATCCACAATTGAGTAGTAAATTTACTAATGATGATTTGGATGGTGAAACGTCAGGTAGCAATTTAAACTTTGATTATCCAATTGTATTAGAGTTTTTCCATTATAAACAACAATTTCATGATTTAATTTCAAATATTGTTATGGCTACTCAAACTTTAACTGTTCAAGACCCTGATGTTTTTAGAGGTATGAAAGATGACGATCCTTTATTTTATAATCGTGATATTTTGAAAATACCTATCGAAAGGGCCTCTTTATTGGTTTCAAATATTTTATCTAATCAAACTAGTCAAAATAAAGGTGGCTCAATTTCTTTAAATCCTGATGAATTAATGTCAAATATTTTATTGGATGGTACTAAATTTTTTGAATCAATTTTAAATATTATTCAACAATTGATTGATGAAAGAGAAACCATCTTAAATTATGCTACTAGAGTTATGCATGATGATTTTAATGTTCAATTATTATTAATTGAAAGAAATAATACTATTTTGTCGGAAAAATCTGAAGATGGTCATCTGTACTACACCAGCAAAAAATCAAATGACATTCCTTGGTATTTGGAAGGTGATGATGAATATGATTTATTGTTGGATGTTAAAGGTAACATTAAAGGTGGTACCAAAGAAGCATTAATTGCTCATTTAACTCATCATGATTTATTCGATAGTAATTTTAATACTGCATTTATTTTAACTTTCCCAACAATGATGAAAATTGGTGAGTTCATTAATCTATTAATCAATAGATTCAATATTGAAGCGCCTGAAGGTTTAAGTTACGAAGAATATAACACTTGGATTTCAAAGAAACAAAATCCTATCAGATTAAGAGTTATGAATATCATGAAGTTACTCATCGAAAAACATTGGTGTAATTCTTATTATAATGAATATGTTTTGAAAAGATGGCTAAAATTTGCCCAAACTTCAGCAGTTCAATCATTCTCTATCGGGAAAGTGTTATCAAATAATTTGACAAAATTATTGAACGGTGAAGTCATTTGCAAAGATCGTGAACCTAGTACCCCGGATTCCAAGACCCCTGCTCCTTTAACCAAAGGTTTCCTTTTGAAAAGGATCAAATTATTAGACATTGACTACATTGAATTGGCAAGACAATTAACTTTAAGGGAATTTAGCCTATACGCTAAAATTACAAAATTAGCTTGTATTTCTAAAGTTTGGGGTAAAAAGTCCGGATTGAAAGAAAACATCGAGCCTATCACAAATTTCATTAAAGCCTCAAATCAATTAACTAACTACGTCGGTTATATGATTTTAAGAAAGGAAGACCCAAGAAGAAGAGTTCAAGTGATCAGATACTTTGTTCAAGTTGCTGAGAAATGTCGTCAATTGAATAATTTTTCTTCGATGACTGCAATCATATCTGCTTTATATTCTTCACCAATTCATAGATTAAAGAAGACCTGGAAGTACGTGTCTACCGATACCATGGCTCATTTACAAAACATGAATAAGTTAATGAATTCTTCGAGAAACTTTAATGAATATAGAGATGTTTTGAAATTCGTGGGTTCGGAATCTTGTATCCCATTCTTTGGTGTTTATTTAAGTGATTTAACATTTGTCTACCATGGTAATACTGACCATTTATTGAATAGACCAAGAATGCTTAATTTTGCCAAACGTGCTAAAACATCCGAAATTGTTTTAGGAATCGATAGGTTCAAGAGTACTGCTTATAATTTACAAGTCGTACCAGAAATCCAAAAGTATTTGGATCAATGGTTTGAAAAATCTCCTACCAATGAAAAACAATATGAAATATCTCTTACTTTGGAACCTAGGGAACAACCTCAGAACACTGATGCCAATAACGCGTCATCCAGAAACTCAAAGATTTTCAGATCAGTGGTTTAATCATATTTATATTCATACATTCTTCAATTCTTTAATCGATTCTTAATCGATCTAACTATTTCTACAATCTTTGCTTCTAATTTTTTTTTTTTTTTTTTCTTTTTTGATTCTTTTAATTCATCGGCCTCTCTCTTCTTTCACTTCTTAATCATATCAATCAAACTTTTGGAAGCTTACTATAAAAACTAATTGTAAGTTGTAGATCGAACTAATCCTTGCGTATCAATTGATCCGTTAAGAACGCACTCACGAAAAAATGATTCCAATTCTAGAGGAAAGGAAAAAACCTCCAAATTCGTTATTTAAGTTATAGTTCTTCAATCAACTGAGTTCAACCTTTTCATTAACAGGCAATCAAGTAGTTGCTAGTGATAGAGCCATGTTCAATAAACTTAAGAGTTTCTCTGAGGATGTGGCAAAGAGTTTAAATCAAGAGGGCCAGAACAATCGACGCACCAATTCCAATACTTTGAAGGAATTGAAAAATGAATCTAAACTATTAAGCACGATGACCCCCGATGCCAGTGAGTTGACGCAACCGGAGGACGAAGCGGCTACTCATTCAGGAGATAGTAAAGAAGACTTAAGCTCAAGCACATCCTCACAGAACCAAAATGAATCACCAGTGCCACCTCAAATTCTAGCTGGAATTGATATTAGTACTTTACCGGGCCCAGTAAGAGCAAAGATGAAGAAGTTTGCCAAATATGAAGAAAAATATCCAGTCTTACTTGATGCATACAAGACCGAGAAAAGAAAAGGGGATTTAATATCAGCATTTGAGAAAGTCTTACAAGAAAATACTCCAATTAGTTCAATTTCAGATGCTGACGTATTGGTGGAGTATATAACCGGTTTAACTGAGAAAAATTCATTGCTCAATGGTGAATTAAGGAAAAAAGTGACCGAAAATAGTCGATTATCAAGAGAGAATCAAAAATTTGAAAGTAAAGTTGAAACAATCGAAAATGACCTTAAAGAAGCAAAATCAAAGCTCAAAGACCTTGAAACTCCTAAAGAAATCGAAAAAGAAGTAACGCAACCGAAAAACATCGAGGAACCCGAAATTGAAGATTTGAAAAAGAAAATAGACGCTTATCAAATTGAAATTAACGATTTAAAAGAGAAGCAAACAAGTCTGGACTCTGAATACAATGACTTACAAAAGCAGTTGAAAGAAGCTGAAGATAAGGTAAAGGGCCTTGAAATTTATCTTCAAGAGGCTAAAGAGAAGGAGGAATCTGGACCTAAGTTAGTGGATCTCGAAAAAGAAATTGGTAATTATAAAATTCAAATTGAAGAATTGGACCAAATTAATAAAGAATTGAAAGGTTCTGTCGAAGAGACTGGCAAATATAAGGATGTCGCCGAAAAACTGGAATCTGAGCTTAAGAGTTTAAAGGTCAAAATTACTGAACTTGAGTCGGAAGTTTCTACTTTGAGCGAAAAGTCTAATACTTTGTCGGAAAGCCTTAAAATTAAGGAAGGCCAAATTAAAGAAATTGAAACAAAAAATTCTGACTTGATCAATAAATCCAGTAACGTTCAAACTACTCCATCCCCTGCTCCTGCCTCCGGAGGGGGGAAAAAGAAAAAGAATAAGAAAAACAAGAAAGGTGGAGCCAATAATGCTAACAAAGAGCCGGAACAAGCAAATAACGGAGATAATCTTGAAGATTCTAAAGATTTTGAGTCATTACAAAAGGAATTTGATAAACTTAACGAAGATTTTAAAAACGTAAATGAAGAAAAGATCCAGCTAACCGGTCGTTTTGACGACTTGAAGTCCAAGTACGATAATATAGTGAAAGACAACGAAGAATTATCAAAAAACCTCAAGGACACCAAGAACGAACTCTCTGCCAAGTCTGAAGACGTGGAGAATTTGAGGGATTCTTTAAGAGATTTGGGAGATGATCTAGTCGAAGCAAGAGATCAAATCAAAGACTTGAAAGGAAAATTTGAAAATCAAACAAGCTCAGATTCCAAAGAATTAGAAGACAAACTAAAAGACCTTGAGGACACGGTAAGTTCATTGAAAAAAGTTTTGAAGGAAAAAGAAGATTTATTAAAAACTACACAAGAAGAGTTGAGTTCTAACAAGCAAGAAAAGCTAAAACTCGAACAATCCTTGAAAACTAAGGAAGAGGAACTTTCAAAAGTTCAAAAGGATTACGAAAATAAATCTAATGAAGTTAAACAAACTTTGTTAGACCATGAAAGCATGATTAGTAGTCATAAATCTGTCAAAGATGAGCTTCAAGCTTTGATTAAGAAACATAACTCAATAACTTCTGAATATGAAACTAATAAGAAAGAAATTGAATCACTCACTAAAGAAAAAACCGACTTAAATTCCAGAATATCTGAATTGACTAAATTTAAAAGTAATGATTCCTCGTTGAAATTAGAGCTTGCATCATTGAAAACCTCATTGAGTCATAAAGACCAATCGATTGATGATTACAAGAAACAAATAAGTGAATTAACAAGCAAAAAGGATGAATTGAATGAAAGTATTTCAAGTCTTAAGATCCGTAACAATGAACTTTCTCATAGTAATAAATCCTTAGTTAAAGAAAAATCAGAATTAGTTACAAATCAAGAATCTTATATTGAAAAATCCAATACTATGAGTTCTGAAATTTCCAAACTCCAAAGTGCCAAACAAGCTGTCGTCGATGAATTAAATGCCTTGAAATTGAAATATGATTCTGTTCTTAAAGACACCTCTGATTCTAAGACAGAGGTTCAATCATACAAGCAACAGTATGAAGAATTTGCAATGAAGGCCAAAGAGTCCTCTTCGAGAATTGAAAATTTGGAAGATGAATTAACTGAAGCTAGAAACATGTTACAAGAAAGAGCTCGTGAAGCATCAACGATCAGAAGATTATTGATTGATGCGGAAGAACAAATTCAACAAAAGAATTCTGAACTCAAATCAGAAATGAATCGGATCAATGAAGAAAAGATGGAATTCGAACAAGACTTTCAAAGTCTCATTAAAAAGAAACAAAGGGAAATCGATGAACATAAGTCTATTACTGAAAACTATTTATCTAAAATTGCAGATTTGGAATTCAAATATAATCAATTAAAGGAAAAGTATGATCTACTCGAAGAAAAACAATCGAAGACTCATGATCCAAAAGATCAAGAAAATTTCCAAGATATCCAAGAAACTATTGACACTTTGAGATCCTCGTTGCAATCATCATCAAAGAAGGTTAAAGATTTTGAAAACATGAATACCGTTTTGAAAAAACTCAACGAAGAATCCAACTTAAAGTTTGAAAGATTGTCAAAAAATTATAAACTTTTAACTCAACAATATAGGCAAATGAAGTCACAATCGAATACGCCGGTCAATGGTCACTCTTCACCAGCAGCATCTACAAGACAATCATTAGAGGATGCCTCTCCAAAAACAGAGCATGCTTCGAGCCGCGACGAAGCCCCTTCGGCTGCTTCTTCCACCAACATCGCTTATCTCAAGAACGTTTTGTTGGGGTTCTTCGAGCATAAAGAACAAAGAGACCAGTTATTACCGGTTGTTAAAACCTTGTTCAATCTCGATGCTGAAGACGAGAAGAAGTTTTTATTTGCATTAAAATGAAGGTCGCAGATAGAACAAAAAAAAAATAAAAATTGAAAAAAAAAAGACAAAACTTTATATATTACCTTTTACATACTTATCTCTGTAATATAATACAAGACATCGGCTTGATCCACCACATATCGTAAGATTCCCAGCAATGCAGAACCCGTTTGACCAAAAGAAACAGTCAATTTTGAAAGAAATTAGTGCTAATGAACTAACACCCGACGCATCTCCAAAAGGGACCATCGATGAGATGTGCATTCCCATCATTGACTTGATTAATAGTAACAAGGATATGGTCACCACTTCTTCGTGCTCCGGAAGAGTGTCAGTTTTTCTAGAAGGGGTCAAGGATATTCTGGATGTGAATGACGTGCAGATTGGAGCAAAGGGGAATTACGGTCACTGGTTATTCGTAACTCACGATCCCAAATCGTTACCCAATTGGTATAAGTCGATTGATTTCAAGTATGACACAGACGAACAACTGAAACTCAGCAGTATGATTGACCAGAACTCCCGTTTTATTTTATTCAAGTTCGAGCCATTAATCTTGCATGTCAAATGCCGTGATCTAGAAATGGCTAATGCATTATATACCAGTGCGATGGGATGTGGGTTCAGGGAAACCGGGATAGGCAGCAACAACATTGTGGGAATAAGGATCTCTATCAAACTAGATGTTCCAATTGGCTACTTAAGGAAGTCAACCACCGGTGAAGAATTGATATCGTTTGTGACTCAAGACTACTTGCAGATCATTACCCAATTATCAGAGGACAGATTCAAGGAAAACTTTAAAAAATTAGACTCCCTATATAAAGCCATCGAACAACTAAATAACAAAGCGGCCTCTTCTAGTGCCACCGGAGAGAAACAAGAATCCAAAGAAGAAAGAAAACAAAGGAAAATGGCAGAAGGTTTGGCCCGTAGAGAAGCCGTTAGGGCTGAAAAAGAATTGAAAAAATTGGAAAAACTAGCACAACAACAACAACACCCCAACGGACCCGAGAACCCATCTCAATAATGAACCTTCCTTAATGTAAATAGTTCTTTTTAGCATCTATTCTATGTATATTAGTTTCAATATAAAGCTTTTTGCAGCTTACATAATCAGAAGGATCTCAGAAGATTTTTAAAATTTTCAAAAATTTTCTTTTTTCTTTTACTTGAGTCAGAACATCATTCGACTTGACACCATCAAGTTTCTTTGTATAACTGTTAAGCAATACTGAGTATGTCTGCTGAAAACACTGAAAAATTGGACAAATTGAACATCAACAAAGAAGGTGCCCCAGAAGGTGCCCCAGCTGGGGATGTTCCATTGGGTGAAGATGGCCAACCATTATCTAAGAAAGCTTTGAAGAAATTAGAAAAAGAAAAAGAAAAAGCTAAGAAGAAGGCTGAAAGAGAAGCTCAATTAGCTAAAGAAAAGGCTGAGAGAGAAGCACAAGCTGCCAATGATCCAGCCAAAGAAAACTATGGTAAATTACCAATGAATAATTCTTCAACCAAGACTGATCAAGTCAGAACTAATATTGAAGGATTATCCGCTGCCGATGATGGTAAAGAAGTTATCTTAAGAGCTAGAGCTCATAATTCCAGACAACAAGGTGCTACCATGGCTTTCTTAACTTTGAGACAACAATCCAATTTAATTCAAGCTTTGATCAAATCAAATGGTGAATCAATTTCCAAACAAATGGTTAAATGGGCCGGATCAATTAATTTAGAATCTATTGTTTTAGTTCATGGTATTGTTAGAAAAGTTGATGAACCAATTAAATCAGCCACTGTTCAAGATGCCGAAATTCAAATCACCAAAATTTATACTATTCAAGAAACCCCTGAACAATTACCAATGTTAATTGAAGATGCTGCTAGATCTGATGCTGAAGCTGAAGCTTCTGGATTACCAGTAGTTAACTTAGATACTAGATTAGACTCAAGAGTCATTGATTTAAGAACTCCAACCAATCAAGCTATTTTCAAAATTCAATCAGGTATTTGTTCATTATTCAGAGAATTTTTATCTAAGAAGGGATTCACTGAAATCCATACTCCAAAAATCATTGCTGCCCCATCTGAAGGTGGTTCAAATGTTTTTGAAATTACTTATTTCAAAGGTAAAGCTTACTTGGCCCAATCTCCTCAAACTTATAAACAACAATTAATTGCTGCTGATTTTGAAAGAGTTTTCGAAGTTGCCCCAGTTTTCAGAGCTGAAAATTCAAATACCCATCGTCACATGACCGAATTCACTGGTTTAGATTTAGAAATGGCATTTGAAGAACATTATGATGAAGTTATTGATGTTTTGGCTGATTTATTCGTTTTCATTTTCAGTGAATTGAAATCTAGATTTTCTAAAGAGATTGCCACTGTTAGAAAACAATTCCCAGTGGAAGAATTCAAAGTTCCAGCCAACGGTAAAATGGTTAAATTACATTTCAAAGAAGGTATCGCTTTATTAAGAGAAGCTGGTAAAGAAGTTGATGATTTTGAAGATTTGTCAACTGAAAATGAAAAATTATTAGGTAAATTGGTTAGAGAAAAATATGATACCGATTTCTATATTTTGGATAAATTCCCTCTCGCTGTTAGACCATTTTACACTATGCCCGATGCTGAAGATCCTCGTTATTCTAACTCTTATGATTTCTTTATGAGAGGTGAAGAAATCTTATCTGGTGCTCAACGTATTCATGACGCTAAATTCTTGAGTGAAAGATTGAAGGCCCATGAAGTTGATCCAAATGTTCCAGGTATGAAAGAATATGTTGATGCTTTCAACTATGGTTGTCCTCCACATGCTGGTGGTGGTATTGGTTTAGAAAGAGTCTTGATGTTCTTCTTGGACTTGAAAAACATTCGTCGTGCTTCCTTATTCCCAAGAGATCCAAAACGTGTTACTCCATAGACACCCTTCTTGTATATCTCTTATTAATAAGTTCTTGTATATTGTAACTTGAATATAAAATCTTTCATGTAAAAGCCTTCAGTAACTAATTTGGCGTAGATTTCACAGCAATTGGAGAGATCGTGCACTTACAAAAAAAAAACAATAAAAAAAAAAGTAGAGCCAGAATGAAACTTTGTTTCGTCTGTTATCTTGAATTGAATATCTTTAAACCAACCAAGTGGATAGGGAATCTTTAAAAAAGAATGGAGGCTACGTATTTACCGAATCCCAACGACAGTAATGCCACTATACTTCTAATGGGCTTACGCCGAGGAGGGAAGAGTTCAATATGTAAAGTTGTATTTCATGATATGCAACCATTAGATACTCTTTATCTAGAAAGTACATCTAAACCAACTAGTGAACAATTTTCATCATTAATAGATTTAAGTTTGATGGAGATACCGGGACAATTGAACTATTTTGAACCGGAATATGATAGTGCAAGGATATTTCAAAGTGTTGGAGCATTAGTTTATGTTATTGATTCTCAAGATGAATATTTGAATGCCTTGACTAATTTATCAATGATTATTGAATTTGCATATAAGGTCAATCCCAAGATACATATTGAGGTATTAATTCATAAGATTGATGGATTAACTGAGGATTATAGAATAGATGCTCAGAGAGATATAATGCAAAGAACCGGAGATGAATTATTAGATTTAGGATTAGAAGGAGTTCAAGTTAGTTTTTATTTAACATCGATATTTGACCAATCAATTTATGAAGCATTTAGTAAGATTGTTCAAAAATTAATACCCGAATTACCAAGTTTAGAGAATATGTTGGATAATTTAGTACAACATCTGTCAATCGATAAGGTATTTTTATTTGATGTTAATTCTAAGTTATATGTTGCCACTGATTCGTCACCGGTTGATATACAAACGTATGAAGTTTGTGCAGAATTCATTGATATCACTATTGATTTAGATGAATTGTACGTTGATGAAAATGGAGAACAAACAAATAAAGAAATTAAGTCGATTAGTAGATTATCCAATCACTCATTACTTTATTTGAGACAAATGATTAGGGGATTAGCCTTGGTGGCATTAATAAGAAACGACGATGAAAATCTGAACGATATGGATAGCATGTTAACGGTTGTTAATTATAATGTCAATTTATTCAAGCAGGCATTAATGCAAATGTGGCAGAATAGTAAATTTGTGAAAAAAACTAATGATGTTAATGAATCTTTGAGCGTTGATCGTCTACATTAAGTATAAAAGAAAATATATATATTTAATTAAAGACTAACAATTTATTTTTTTGTTTTTTTTTTGTCAAAGTATTATATGCAAAAGAAGTAAAAAGAAGTAATATACACAGATTACCAGCATTCGTAACCACCGTCAACCACCAAGTTGTGACCAGTGGTGTAAGAGGATGCGGAATCAGAAGCCAAGTAAAGAATACTACCAACGAATTCTTTTGGTTCAGCCATTCTCTTCATTGGAATTTTAGACTCCCAAGCATCCTTCATTTCACTATGACCACTGATAACATTTCTAGTCAAAGGAGTCAAGATATAACCAGGACTTAAAGTATTAACTCTAATATTATACTTAGCCCATTCACAGGCCAAAGATCTAACCAAATGAATGACCCCGGCTTTAGACATATTGTACATGGATTGAGGTTGGGGATCGTTAACAATAGTACCAGACATAGAACCAACAAGAATAATGGAACCCTTTTGGTTGTTTGCAATTAAAGGACGAGCAAAAGCTTGAGAAACATAAAATGCACCCAAACCGTTAACCTTCAAGATTCCTTCAGCGTTTGGAGCAGGATAATCTTCAGCAGGGAAATTTTCACAGTAACCAGCAGAGTTAATCAAAACATCGGCAATCTTCCCGTGTTGTTCATTAATTGCACTAAAAGTAGTTTCCACCGATTCCGAATCTCCAATGTTACAAGACCAGGCACTAACTTGACCAGCAGGTTGATCGGATCTACCTTTCAAAGTTTCTTCACCCCAGGCAGCCAAGTCTTTGGCTGCTTGTTTGGTTCTTTCCAAGTTCATATCAATCAAAGCAACATCAGCACCCTGAGCCAATAATGCTCTGGAAACAACAGAGGCCAATCCCCCGGAACCACCAGTAATGATAACCAATCTACCGTCCAATCTGAAGTTAGGAACAACGTTATCGTAAGAAAAATCCATTTTTTATACTAATTATTTGTAATCTATACCCAGCACCCAATCTAGTGTAATCCAACGGAAATGGAATGGTATTTATAGCTACCGGCTTCAAACGTTGATAACAGCAAGAGATGACACTGGGAATACCTAAATTAAAGTGCAAAAAAAGAAAAGTTGCACCAAAAACAAAAAAAAAATATTAATTTCGCACCAAAAACAAAAAAAAAAATCGAATTCACACCAAAAACGAAAAAAAAAAATCGCATTCGCACCAAAAACAAAAAAAAAAATCGCATTCGCACCAAAAACAAAAAAAAAAAAGATTAAAAGAAGAAACTGCTGCTCTTTTCTTTTGGTTTATCCCTTTTGCAATTATGTAATTGATTATGTCATTACACTAATATTACACTAATACCACCAATGCCATAATACCTTCAGTAGATACTGAATCCCCAGATAGACCCCCCTACTGGAGGCCTACTGGGGCCTACTGGGACCTACTGGGCCCTGCTGGGCCCTAGTGGCCCCCGTACTGAATCCACCGATGATCGTACCGCATTGTCGGTGGAAGGCGGACAAACTGGAATTCTCGGAGTATTCAACGGCTGGTCTTTTTCCAGTGATTTCGATTCTCTTCTCCAAACAAACAGAATCAGGGAGTCAACTAAGCAAAGATCATCTACAATAAGAACACAAGCAAAACTATAATGGAATGTATATTAGTGTTATTTGCTGTTCACAAAATTGTTAGAGTAACAAAATTGTAGACCCGTACATAGACTGGGCTGCAGCCAAACCCCCGTACACCAGGAAAAGAAGAAAAGCCGGAGGAAAAAGAAAGAAGGAAAAGCCGGGGAGGTACGGGGAGGTACGGGGGTAGCGGTTGTTTTCGCAGCAAAGGGACCCTTCGCTTAGTCTAATCGAACTGCTTATCGTGTTTTTCGTTTTGCTGCTGCAATCTTCTCAAGTTCTTTTCGTCTCTCAAGGCCTTCTTTCTGTCGAATCTGCGGTTGGCCCACAATCTCAAGGACTCCCCGTATTTGATACAGAAAAGGGGGAAAGGAACCCCCAAGACCAACATGATAAAAGCACATAATGTAGTACCCCAACCGTAGTTCAATCGATTATACAAAGGAGTGGCCACCAAGGGCATGGCAAAACCAACACAGCTTCTGAAAACGGCAGCCGCGGCAACCGAAGATGCGGATAGTAAGTTATTCATTTGGATTAAATAGGTTTGAATGGTATTGAAAACACAAACCATGCAAAATGCAAAAATACCAGCACCAACACAGGGCACAATCCACGGAAGAGTGAAATGAGCACCCCAGCCATAAATGATAAGACCGATTGGAGTGAACCCCCCGGCAATGACTAGACACCTTAATGTGAATTCTGGCTTTGATTGTCCATTATTTTTAGCAATTTGTCTTTTACATTCTCTATTAATGGCCCAAGCCCAAAAAAAACTTCCAATTACGTAACCAACCCCCATTGATAAATACATTAACCCACTAATATTGGTACTGAAATGATATTTACCCTTGAAGACTTCGGGAAAGGTACAAATCATTAAATACATGAATCCATAAACAAAAGCCATATACGAACCTAATCCCGTAACCATGGGATGACCAACAATGAATTGTAAAGGTCTAGTAATACTCAAGTAGAAAACCCCTAAAGGAGTTTCCCCATTAGAGATTTCATAAATAGTATGTAAATGTTGATTACCAGTTTCTTTCCGTAATTTTTTAGCCTTTTCTCTTAATAACTTTGGGGCATAAGTTTCTTTGAAAAAAATTAATCCAAAAAATGCAACAACAAAAGTGAAGATGGCTAAGATGTAGAAACACCAATGCCAGTTCATTCCGGTCACGATAAATGAACTGATCACCGGGGCAATCACTGGTCCTAATTGGGGACTTAATGAATAGGCTGCCATCGCGGCTCCTCTTTCATCATCTTTCCAAATATCAGCCAAGGTACCAGCTCCAACATTCAATGAAGCACACCCACCTAATCCACCTAAAAATCGGAAAACGCAAAATTGTGCTGGGGTTTTGGCAAACCCCCCAACCAAATTAAATAAACCAACAATCCAAATGGAGATATTTAAAACCGGTCTTCTTCCAACTAAATCAGATTCAGATAAGGGTGCAATGACCAATGGACCCAACGCCCATGCTAAAACCATAACACTAATGGCAAATGCTTTTAAAAATGTAGAACTTTCAAAACCTAAACTTTCGGCAATTTCATCAATTGCCGGAGAAGGTAGCGAGGAACTCATTGGTGAGATAAGAGTGTATATACTAACAATCAATGTTTGGAAACATCTTTGTTTAAAAGACCAATTTCTAGGATAAGCAGGATCATCATGACCGTCCCAAGTAACCAATTCGGGATCAATCGAATTAAATTCCTCCCCATTATTTTTAGCTTGTACAAAATATTCTGGATTATTTTCATCAGAGTCATCATCTTCTTCTTCTCCAGGTCCCTCACTTTTAACCTGGTTTTCTTGATCTTGGTTAGTAGTGGTTCTCTTGGCTCTATCAGTTAAGGTATTTAAAATGGTTGACTTGGTTGCAGTTCTTCTTAACTCAATATCATTTTCATCTAAGTCTCCATATATATCTCGTACACTATAACTTGAAGGTAATCTACTTAAATGATTGGAAGATTGATTCAGATTAATCCTGCTGACATTGGAATATTGTCCACTTGATCTAGCAGTTGAATATTTTCTTATTGCCGAATCCTTATTTTCTAATGAAACGGGATTTAAATTATCTTGATTAAGCGATGATCTCGATGAAAGTGAATCCAGTGGGTTCATCTCATTAATTTTAGATCCATCGGAAGACATCTTAACCTGTTAATTAAATTAAAAGTTTGGAAAGAAGTAGAAAAGAAAAGAAAGGATTTATAAAAGTTTTTCGTTTGACAGAAGGAAATGCGCGATAACAATTAGTCTTTATTGTTCTTTTCTTTTTCTATCCTTCTTTCCCACTAAATACCTGTCAAACTATGCCCAAAGCAGCCCTATACCAAGCGTTGGGATGGTTGCGACCGTGACTCTAGGTGGTAAGCCACATACCCTCACATTTTAGCAAGCATTTAGTTCCCATTCCAATCGTTGTGAGCTACTTTATGGCCATCGGCAAACTGGGCCACTTCACCGACGCATCGGCGGATGCTGACTCCGATATCCGTCTGGGATGCTACCCGATAGCCGTTTGCTTCTCGGCCGACATCACCCTCCGTACACCAGGAGTGCGGGTGCGGGCACGTACACCAACAGAAAGGTACGGGTTGGGCCGGTGGGCCCGGTTTTCTGTTTTCCTGCGCCTTTCATTTCCGAGGGGATTGCCTGTCCTGCCCGGGATTGCCTCCTGCACATTGCTCGTACCGTACAGAGGCAAAAATGTTTTTGGCGAAATAAACGACTAAACGAGCTAAGTGAGAGTAAACGATCGTATAGAATAATACGCGTGTTTATTTGGTTATCAAAAAATTCATTTCTTTTTTTCAGCTTTTGGTTGGCCTTTTACAAAAAAAAAACTTTTTCAACATCGGGATTACTAAATAAAATATATATAGGCCGAGTATTCTATAGATTTGATAGATAGATAGATTAGATATAGATAGATATATATTCATTGCATCATGGTGAGTGCTGTTTATCATGATTATAGTAGTTTTGCTAATACTACTACATTTACCGATGTCTATTCCAATTTTAATCAAATTCCTGAATTAAATATATTTGAAAAACTATGGGGGTCATATTATTATTATATTAATCATGATTTATTTGCAACTGGGTTATTATTTTTTTTAACTCATGAACTCATGTATTTTGGTCGTTGTTTACCATGGTATATAATTGATAGAATACCATATTTCAATCGTTATAAGATTCAAGAAACTAAGATTCCAAGTAATAGAGAACAATGGGAATGTTTAAAATCAGTTCTTACTTCACATTTCTTAGTGGAAGCATTCCCAATTTGGTTTTTCCATCCAGTGGCTGAATTCATTAACATTAGTTTCCAAGTACCATTCCCATCATTAAGAACAATTGGATTTCAATTGGCTGTTTTCTTTATTTTAGAAGATGCCTGGCATTATTGGTTCCATAGAGGATTACACTATGGAGTTTTTTATAAATATATTCATAAACAACATCACAGATACGCTGCTCCATTTGGATTGGCTGCAGAATATGCTCATCCAGTTGAAGTTAGTTTATTAGGTTTAGGAACCGTGGGGATTCCCTTGGTTTATGGTTATTTCACTCAAAATTTACATTTATTCACTATTAATACTTGGATTATTCTCAGATTATTTCAAGCAGTTGATTCTCATTCTGGTTATGAATTTCCTTGGTCTTTACATCATTTCTTACCATTCTGGGCTGGTGCTGATCACCATGATGAACACCATCACTATTTCATTGGGGGTTATTCATCTAGTTTTAGATGGTGGGATTACTTTTTGGATACCGAAGCTGGTCCAATTGCTAAACAAAAGAGAGAACATAGAATGAAACTTAATGCTGAAAAATCCAAAGTTGCTTAATAGATATATATTTAATACATAATTTACTTATTCTTAATCCATTCATTATATAATTTTCTTTTTTCTCGAAAATTAATAAAATCAATTCTATTTTCAAATTCTTCATAATCGTTAATTCCTAAATTATTAATATTTTCCATCGATTCGTTCATCTTGATTGGATTCAAGTACTCATCCCCTTGTTTAATCAATTTATCTTCTTTTAAACTAATTCTGGACTCATTTTTAATCGATTGGATACTGCCCAAGATGAAAATCACCAACCCAATTAGCAACTCAAAGACAATATCGTAAGGTAACCCGGTGTGGTTCTTGGATGCTTTGATGAATTGGTGGTACTCAAAGGACGAATACGCCGCATGAAGCACCAATATGCTCCCGGTTAGATACAATAGGCCCATCCTGCTGAGTAACTAGTACTTGTCAATTGATGATTCTCAATATAATCAAATATAACCTGTAACACCACAACCTGTAACACCACAACCTGTAACACCACAACCTGTAACACCACAACCTGTAACACCACAACCTGTAAATGAAAAATAGTAAACTGCAATAGCAGCACAACACGCAAACGGCCTGCTTCAATCTGCAAATGCTGCTTTTTTTTGCAGCAAATGTTATCGCATCACACCCGTGCACCACCGGCCACCCCCAATGGGTGACCCTTAGCCCCCTTACAAATGAAATTATGCTGTCTCCAGCAATGTTGATTCAAGTATAAATGTTACTTAATCCTATAGCATTATTGGAATAATCCCAGGTTCCTAATTAATACAATTCCAAAATAGTGACCAAATCAATAATTAAATTAACAACTCAGTCATCAACCCCGTCACCAAATCAGAAATCAATTACCAAATCAGTCGAATCGGTAATACGCCAAATTTCAATCACGCTTCGTTGCCCCTCACAAAAGTTGTTGATTGGTGCATTTACAATACCTTGAAACCCGTTGTTACCCCAGACTTTGCTCTTGCTTTGATCTTGTTTGTTGACAAACGTGACTCTATTTCATCCTTCAGTATTGCAGCCACAAATATCAGATATAAAACAAAAAAAAAAAAAACTGATAAAAATAAAGAGAAAGCCATTTTCACAATCATATAAAGGTAAACATCCTTACCCCAGATTTATATATATTTGTATATATTCTACCTATACTAGTTGATTTTCAGTTATTTTCAGTGTATTCACTTAGAAGATGAAGTTTTTCATTTTGTTAATTTTTTGGTTGTCAGCCATAAAAGCTTTGTACATTCCTCGTTCGTCCGGGTCTTCATTTAGTTGGTCGGGCTTTTTACCTGGTGTTAGTTGGATCGGGATCAAGGATGCTAGTGACGATCAAGAAGCATTTGAAAACTGGGTGCTGAGTCAGTCAAATATCTCGTTTAACGGGATTTTGCAAAATATTGGTGGTTTGAGTTCCATTCTTAGCAGTAGTGAAGTCAGTTATGGGGTTGTTGTTGCTTCTCCTTCTAAGACCAACCCAGATTATTTCTATCAATGGACTAGAGATTCTGCTTTAACTTTAAGATCGTTGATCTATTGGTTGGACGACCATGGGTTTCCTTCCAATTCAGAAATATCCAAAATTGTAGAAAGTTACATTGAGAATAACTACCACTTACAAAGATTACCAAATTTTTCTGGAGATTTCAATGATGTTACCAAGAAATCTTTGGGGGAACCAAAGTTTCATACTAACGGTGAAAGTTTTAACCAAAATTGGGGTCGTCCTCAAAGTGATGGCCCTGGTTTGAGGATTTCTACTATATTCAACTATTTTGAATTATTAAATAAGTATGGGAAATCAATAACTAATGATTTTTTGAAAAATGATGCAAATATTTATTTTAAAATTATTAAATTTGACTTGATTTATATTATTAATAATTGGAATATTAACAGTTTTGATTTATGGGAAGAAATCAACTCTAAACATTTTTTCAATTCAATCACTCAATTAAGAGCTTTAAAAGATGGTATCGCTTTAGTTAAAAGATACGAACCCCATAATGAAGATTTCATAAAACAATTATCTTCAATTTTTGATCAATTGAAAAATTATATCTTAAATGATTCCGGTTTTACCAATCCTTCAATTCCTTATCTTGTTGAAACTCCTCCTTTACTAAATTCCGGTAAAAGATCAGGGTTAGACGCCGCTACTTTATTAGGTAGTATTCATTCTCATAATTTAGAAAATTCAATTAGTTATGAGGATATTCCCTTTGATGTTAATAATAATTATATTTTTAATACAGTTATTTCAATGGTTTCCGATATGAAATATAGATATCCAATCAATCATGATAAAATTAGATTTAAACAAAATATCGGTGTTGGTTTAGGTAGATATCCAGAAGATGTTTATGATGGTTATGGTTCAAGTGAAGGAAATCCTTGGTTTATTTCAACTGCTACTGCTGCAGAAATCTTCTATAAAACAATTTTTAAATATATCAACAATAAAGAAGATATTTTGATCAATAACTCAAATAAAGAATTTTTCAAATTGTTTTTCGATGATGAAATGAATGAAGATGAAGATTTTAAAATCCCCTTTAATACTCCTGAATTTAATCGTTTGATCAAAAGTTTATTAAACTACGCTGATTCCTTCTTGATCATTATTAAAGACCATGTTGATTCTCAAAATGGTGACATTCTGGAACAATTTAATAAATATCATGGTTACATGCAAGGTGCTAATAAATTAACTTGGTCATTTTCTTCATTTTATAACTCTGTTAGATGGAGAATTAAAGCAATTGATTCTATAAATGATAATTTAAATTAATTAATAGACTTGTTCCCGTTTCAGTTCTTCTGGTGATTCTTTTTTTCCTCTACAATCTCTTTGATTTTTTTTTTTAAGCGTATATATATTTCTATAAATATTAACTAGATAATACATTATACTTACTTTTCCATATTATTTACAGTTTCAAATACCGTTATATTTGGGAAATTTTGATTTTGATTATTTTGATAAATTGATTCATCCCGACTTGTTAACTCTAAAATCTCTTCATCGGTTAAGTAATTATCCGGTATTGATTTTTCAGTATTTATGTCATCATCAAAGATATAATTGAAGTCTTGAATACTGGATTCATTGTTATCATCAGATTCACTTATGAATTTTTTACTTAACGAAATTAATTCACTTATTGTATTGGTATTGTTTGGATCATTGTTCTCACTTCTCTCTATAAAATTATTAAATTTGAATTCTCCCATTTGTATAATTAATTTTTCTAAAAATCTTTTACTATAACTTTTTGAAATTAAAATTTCTTCAATTGAATTTCTAACCAAAAATCGGTATATTTTAACTGGGTTTAATTGACCTATTCTATGAACTCGATCAATTGCTTGTAAATCGACTTGTGGATTCCAATCGTTGTCTAGTAATATAACGGTATCTGCAGCTATTAAATTAATTCCTAATCCACCAGCTCTTGTTGATAATAAGAAAACTTGTTTATTATCTTTCAAATCATTAAAAGATTTTATAGCATCATCACGGTCTTCTTGCATCGTAGAACCATCTAACCTACACACTTCAATTTTTTGATAATCTAACCAATCATGTAATAAATCTAACATTTTGGTAAATTGAGAAAAAATCAAGACCTTATGATTAAAAGGAAGTAAATTTTTCAATAATTGATTTAAGATTTTTAATTTGGATGAATTTTCAAATAAAATTTTCATAAAGATACCTTCTTTTTCCTTGGTTATTTCATTTGGGATAAATGGTTCATAATAAATATAAGGAGACGAACAAATATTTCTTAATTGCATAACAACGTTCCTTAACGGTAGAAGTTTAACTTCTTTAAAAATCTTATCGTATAATGAATTTAATAAAGATAATTGTTGTTCTTTCAGCGTTAAAGGAGCATCAGGTGTATCATCAATTTCAATGACTTCAACTTCGAATTCATCATTTTCATCGGCATCTTTTAACGAATTATATTTCAAATTTCTTTCACGTTTAATTGAATTTTTATCGTCAGTCGATTTAAATTTAATATGTAGAAATTCTTCGATAACTTTAGTATCAGGAAATAAATCATGATGATTATAAATGATGAATTCTTTTAAATAAACTTCAACCAAAGTTTGAACTAAATTATTATTAAGGGCGTTTTTATAAATTTTTTTTTGTAAATTACTTAAAGGGATGTGAATTAAGTATTCTTTCTTTGGAGGTAAATCTTTGATGACATCTTTCTTTAATCTTCTTAGTATGAAAGGTTTTAAAATCGTGTGTAAAGATGTTATTAGATTTTCTTGAATTTTTAAATCCAATAGATTTTTATCGTTATTATCACTTGAGATTTGATTTGACAAATTGGTTAATTCATTGAAGTTGAACCATTGTTCGAATAACTCTAAATCATGGAAGATATCAGGTAAGATGAAATTAAGCAATGACCATAATTCACCCAAGTTGTTTTGTAAAGGAGTCCCGGTTAATAATAAACGATTTGAAGTATTTAATCTTTTCAAAATTTTCATTAATAAACATTCATAATTTTTCAAACGATGACCTTCATCGACAATTAAGAATTTCCAATCATTAATTTTATTGAATTTATTAAAATCTTTAATTGATAATTCATAAGAAGTTATTATTACATTATTTGATTGACACACTTTATTGATATTAATTTTTTTACGCTGATTTTTATCACCGATATATTTGAAGACATTAACTTTGGGAGCAAATTTCTTAAATTCATTGCACCAATTAGAAACCGTTGACAATGGAGCCACGATTAAAAATGGGCCATTAATTTGATTTTCCATTAGAAAACAAAGTAAGGAAATGCATTGAATGGTTTTACCCACACCCATATCATCAGCCAAGATACCATTTAATCCATTTTCATATAAGGTGGTTAACCATTCCAAACCGTCTAATTGATAATCCTTTAAAGTTCCGCCCGATAATAACTTTGGTTGTTTTTGGGTATGACTAGTTTGAGATGATTCAATTATTGATTTGGTTTTAGTTGTGGAATCCGAAACTTTATTCGATAGCATTGATAAGACATCGTTCTTCGGGGTTTTATTTTTCTTTTTGGAGCCCTTTTTCTGTTTCTTCTTAGGCGGTTCTGCTGGTTGTTGATTTTTCTTCTTATTGAGAGTGTTTTCCAAGATATTATCTAGAATAATTTGGGAATATATTTGAGACTTCTTGACCAAGTTATTCAAACGGTTGAGTTTATCGTCGGTGGACAAGTCATTGAACTGTTTTTGTTCTTCTGTCACCGGATCCTGATTTTGTTGGATGAGCTCAGACAAATCGGGGCTCTCTTCTTTGGGTGGGTCCTGAGTCATCTGTGTCTGGTGAGGAAGATATCAAGACAGGCGTATAAGAGAAGAAGTAAGAACCAAAGGGAAGAAGCAAAGAAACAAGTAGCTAAGGTATTGGGCGGCTAATACCCGCCGGTGATCCAGTGATGATATGGTGTACGGAGCTGAAAAATTGAAGAAATCGAAAAAAAGAAATTAAAAACGCGGTCACGTGATATCTCAAGCCTCCGTACACCTTATTCCCGTCACGTGGCGGCCCGGGGAAAGAAAGAAAAAACGAAAGAAAGAAAGTGAGATTCCTTTTTTATGGTGTACCGGTCTTCTCCGCAGTAAAATATGTCATCTCGGTGATCTCACCGGGCTTCCTGCATGCGGACCCAGCATCTAATTATGCACGTTGAAATACGTAATGATAAGACCCAACCATTTTGCAAAAACGTTGATTAATCAACAGGTTGTTCAAATGGTATGTAATCGATAATACATTTCCCCGGGATGACTCAAAGATATTCTGGATATATAAAATAACCTTATATTAATCCACTCGGAAAAAAAGGGCACCCAAGTATACGGTGAACCCTAACGAAAATAGAGTTGTTCCAAAAAAGACGAAGTTGCTAAAAAGGAGTTTTTCCAAGGAAAAAAAAAAAATAGAAGATAATAAGCATTACCAGAATATAGGGACCAAAGAAAAGTTTTGAAGTAAGATAAAGTGGCTATTCATTATTTAGGTTATTGTTTTGTGAATAGTTTAGTTGTATGAATAAGTATTATTTTTATTATTAATTATATAATTTTTTTTTTTGTTTTTTTAGGCCTTTTTTTTTTTTCTTTTGGTGGGTCTTTTTTTCGGTTGGATATTTTTCTCCGTTTTACAGTCAAATACTTTTTGAATATTCATATAAATAATCCAGTAAATTTCAGTAAAAGTTGTTAGATAAAAAGGTATTCAAAGTGTTGTCGTTATACAAGAGTTGGTTCCCCGTTAGAAAACCAATCAATATTAGTACATTACTCAAATTCAGTACGTCAAGAATCATCATGGGTAGAGATAATATATTACAGTACCAATTAAATCATGATCATGAAACTGATTTAAGTACTACACCACCAGATGAAAGATTGAAACAATTGGAAATACATAATCAGAAGAAGGGTCAAGTATTTAGAAATGATAATTTCCCCTTCACATTATCTAAAAACTCTACCAAAGAAGATTTTTTGAATAATAATCAATATTACGTTGACTCGATTCATCATAATCACTCCAATCAAATATTTGAATTAAACGGTAAAGGACAGTCCCCCCACACGTTATGGATTGGCTGTTCTGATTCCAGAGCCGGTGAATCTTGTTTGGCTACCTTACCGGGGGAGATCTTCACCCACCGTAACATTGCCAACATCATAAATTCCAATGATATTTCAAGTCAGGGGGTGATACAGTTTGCGGTGGATGTTTTGAAAGTCCGTAAGATTATTGTATGTGGACACACTGATTGTGGGGGTATTTGGGCCTCGTTAAGTTCTAAGAAAATTGGCGGTGTTCTTGATTTGTGGTTAAATCCAATTAGACATACTAGGGCTGCGAATTTGAAATTATTAAATCAATATAATGATAATCCAAAGGAAAAGGCAAAGAAATTGGCTGAATTAAATGTCATTAATTCTGTGCTTGCATTGAAAAGACATCCATCTGCTTCGATGGCTTTGAAAAATGGTGATATCGAAGTTTGGGGGTTAATGTATGACGTTAGTACTGGATTATTAAATGAAATTGAAATCCCCAATGATGAATTCGAAGATTTGTTCCATGTACAAGATGATGTTGAAGATAATTTAGGTCATTAAACTTATATACTCTATAATATATATATATATATACTTTTTCTAGGTATTTTCCCAATTCAAGTTGAATCTACCTTCGGGAATCTTATACTCTTCAATTGCCTTCAAGACTTCATCGGCGGTTTCTGCCACTTTAATAATTTCTCCATTTTTTTCACTAACAAATTCATTTTTAATTGCATCTTTAATAAATTTTAAGAAATTATCGTAAAATCCATTCATATTGAATATAACAATTGGCTTATTGTGAATATTTAATTGAAACCAAGTAACTACTTCCATTAATTCTTCTAAAGTTCCGTATCCTCCTGGTAATGCAATAAACGCATCGGCTTCTTCGCCCATCATCTTCTTTCTGGTATGCATGTCTTTAACTAAAGTAGTATGGCCGTATTCTTTCAGATCGGGAATTGGGGTTGAGCCATCATGATTATCAATCGATGACTTTAAATGTTCGTTGAATTTCTCATCATCAATTCTTTCTCTTGAAATCAATGCCGACGGAATGATTCCATGAACGTATCCTCCGTTGGTAGCACATCCTCTTGCCACCGACCCCATAATACCAGTTGATCCTCCTCCGTAAACTAACCCCCAGTTTCTTTTAGCTAATGATTTACCTAAATCATTAGCATTTTTAGCAAAAATTTCATTATTACCAAATGAAGATCCGCAAAAAACACAAATAGTTTTATCTGGTTTAGTAGTATCGTTTGGTTTATTGGTAACGTAGTCAGTAGTTGTCATTATTTAATTTTGATTTATTAATTAAATGTCTTGTTAACAAAAGTGGAATTTGATCATTATTTATACAACGTGAATGAATTTTTCCATACCGCGGGGGGGCCGACCAATTCGCAGCTCCACGAACTTACCTCCACTACGGACCACCACGGAGTATCAACAACTACAACAACTACCAGAACAGTATTGGAACCACCGAGAAGGCCGGATTGGTATTCCATCCTTGTGTTCCATGCCCTTGCTCTCCACTCATTCCACTAACTATCCGCTTCTACATTTTATATTTTGTGTATTCTCTGTCTAAACTATTCTATCTTGTATTGAATGTTCTTATCTATATTCTGTATTGTATGGGATGTTCTAATCTATAACCTATATTCTAATCTAGATCTTTCTGGGTTAATGTGTTCTGTAGTATACTCTAGTGTCATATGCTGTATGCTACTCGATACTTTCATTCTATATTCTGTCTATATTCTACTCCATTCAACATCTATATACCCCGTTCTTTATATTCTACTCTAGCCTACTCCATTCCACTCCATTCTACATTCATATTCTAGTTCATGGCCAATACTGAGGTTCGTGTTCAATGTTCTAGGGTAAGTCCAATATTCTGTATCCCTACCTTATTCCATTCGTACTACATTCGAGTCTATCTCCATACCTGCATTTATTCGATATTTTACTCTATTTTCTATTCAGTATTCTGTGCATAGTGTATCTCCATTCTACATGTATTTTCTATTTGTTCTCTTCTATTCGGGAGTCTATTCTTCTTTTTTCAAGCTATTCCTATCTTCCATTTGGTAATATAAATACTTTGACCTACTTATTTCATACAATCTGTTCATTCAATTCTATATACTATACGTTTCTCCCTATACATTCTGTATTCTCCGGGATGATTTTGCAACCGAAGTAAGCCACCGTATCGGTTTTATTCCCTGAACATCAATCGCCTCCATATTTTGTATTGACACGAGAAATAGTAATGGTTAACCTACAACCTTCCAAGACCATCTACAATAGAAAATAGTACAATATATAAGATACAAATAAGTATACAATATATATACAAATGGGTATACAATATATATACAAATGGGTATACAAATAAGATACAATATATCTACAAATAAGATACAATATACATATATATACAATAATTCAAGTATACAAATACATACAATGAAGTGTTTACACGCGAAGGGGTTCCTTTGACGATTATTTTGATATAATCGCGTTTATCGCATCAGTACATCAAAGAGGCTGCTAATATGTATAATAACTAATATTTAGATAAATGTAGAGATTAAGCGATTAAAAATTCGTGTGTCTTATATATATAACTAGAAAAGATCGTTTATGGAGAAAGGCATTTCACCAAAAAATCAAGCACCATGCTGGCAACAAAAGATTTATTTAATCAATTAGATGATTTATTTGAATCGATAAATTCAAGTCCAGAAACAACGTATACTAAATCAACAACTAATGAATCAACAAATTCAACTGATATAGATGAGATTTATGATGATCATAAGTCGATTGAAACAAATAATACTTCAATCTATGATATACATGAAAAAAATGATGTTAAATTAAAAATGTTGAATAATAATTATAATAACGATAATTTAATGATAATATTAGATTGTTTAGAAGATATGATAATACAAGAATCAAATCAAATTGAAAATGAATTGAAATATCTTATAAGTGATCTTTCAAATTTGAAATCTTATAATACTTATAATATACCAATGAAATTAAATTTTTCAAATAATTCTAAAAAAAAAAATCTCATTTTAAATGAATATAAACGGTCTTCAATAAATTATTCAATAAGAAATTCAATAATATCCGATGATTACTCTTTAAGATCTTTCAGTTTAACGAAATCAAAATAATGTCTCTCTTTTTCAATTCTATTCTTGTTATTATTATATATAGACTAATACTCCCCTTTAATAAATTCTTAATTTTTGTATGTGCGAAAAAAGTTAGTTACTCCTTTCTTTTATATGATAATGTCAGTAAAAGATATAAAACAATCCCTTTTGAAAGTATCCAATTACTTGGAAGTATTGGAAACCCAATTAGATGAAAGAAACCGTTTGGTATCCATACTAAACCTTAACCCTAGTTCAAATGATAATCTTGAACTAGTCTCAAATTTAGACCGGATAAAAAAAAATTTAAATTACTTACAAAATGATATAAATAACTTGAAAACTCCTTCAAATGACTTGGTAAATGAATTAACCAAACTAATAAACTTGTATAATACAAGTCTAACCAATATAGTTGATTGTTTTTTCGATATAAATGATTATAAATTAGAAGTAAATTTGAATTCTCAAACAAAATCAGTTAGATTTAAAGATGACGATAACGAATTAAGAAATGAATTAATGGGGACTCAAAAATTTCAACCGTATCATGACGATGAACAAAGTCTTGAATCAATATCCAACCATGAGTTTTTCGCTCAACATCAGCAAACTATACTACAGCAAGATTCTCATTTAGACTCTTTACATGAATCAATTCAGTTTCAGAAAAATTTGGGCCATAATATTAACTCAGAACTCGACGATCACATAATCTTGTTAAACGACTTGGAGCAAGGCGTGGACTCGTCGCATACTAGACTAAATCAAACCCATAGAAGATTAAACGTATTTAGAAATAAAGTTAGAGAAAATGGTAGCTTAGTCACTATTATCATATTAACGGTAATTCTAATTCTTTTATTGGTTGTTTTAAATTGAATATATACTAATATATAAGATTCTTAGTTTTAAAAGTTAAAATCATCATTATCTTCTTCTTCTTCTTCACTGAAAAACCAAATGAATACAATAATATCCCCATATACAATCAACCCTCCAATTATACTCATAATCATTGACCCCATTTCAATCAAATTAGTATGATACAATATAATTGGTAATGAAACCCCACTGATAATCAAATATCCAGTGATAAACTTACTCAACTCCTCGATGGAACTTGGACTATTGTTATGATCATTATTAAACATTAAAAAGTCATCCCGATTATTTTCAATTGATGATGATATTATATTGGGTAATGGTGCTATCAAAAAAATTAATATAACCCATAATGGCTTCCAGTTATTATATAATGCACATGATAATAAAATTAACAAAAACCCCGACGCTAAGAAAGCTGATAAGAATATAATCTTATTCAATGGATTCATGCTGGTAGTTAGACTGATAGTATTAGGGTTATCCCTTTGTAGTTTTCTGTTCACGCATTAAGTCTACATCAGTTTTTTTTTTAAAGTTTTTTTGGTATTTCACTGGCTCACTATAAAATTATAAACAATTAAAATCATAAAAACTCCCGATATGTACAATTAATCCTTTGACCAAAACCATCCTTTGGAGTTGGCATTTCCGTGGTCAACACTCTCGTTGACGTTAACCCATTCCTTGGACCCAACGGGTTTACTCTTGGTGATGTTCTTTGTAATCGAACTACCATCATTGAAAATTTCTGTCTTGATTTCATTCAAAACAATTTCGTCATCAGTGGTATTCATACTAGATTGTATTGATGATGAAACCACTTGTTTATCTTCGATATTTGTAATTTGTCTTTCTTTGAATGCTTGTCTTTTCATTTCTCGTTCTCTCTTAACGTTTTCATACATGACATTCTTCCAACTTAAATAAGCATCAAATTTTTTAAAGAAGGTTCCTCTATTACCCAATTCAATCACGTCTTCGTTACTTGCTCCTTTCTCAGTTACCGCCTGTTCAAAATCTTCTTTAGTTAAGATCTCGTCCGGTTTGTATTGCTTCTTATAATTCAATAACTCATTGGGCACTTCACGATTGGGGAACAAACATCTCCAATACCCTTTGGAATCCCATACTGATTCCCCTTCTTTATTCAAGCATTCGTTATAATACCTTGCGGATGGTGCTCCGTATGAATAGTACCCATACGGAGTTTCGCCGCTTCTAAACCCGCGGTGGAACCCACCCCATGGTCTGAATCCAAATCCAAACTTATCTTCTTTGCATCCTGTTCTATCTTCGTAAGGTTTAGAAATGAACTCTTCAATTCTTGGGCTCAAATCGGTAATCATTGATTTGAAACTATTACTAATATCCTTGATGTCCTCCTCGTATCCTGGCTTCTTATCAGAACTCTCATCAAATAACCAATCGAGCGTCATTTGTTTGGCTCGGTCATTGATATCTCCTAAGATCCCGCCAGTGTGATAAATTGTTTTCTTTGCAATCTCATTAAATCGATCGGTGAATTGGTCAAAATCTTTTTCCCATTCACCCACTTGTTTATTAGAATCTGTGTCGTCAGATTTATTCCCACCAAAAACCATTGTAACTACTCATGTATAAATAGCTGGATACTAAACTACAATTAACAAGAATCACCTTCTTTATATTCTTTTTTTCAAAGGGGGCAAACCGTCAGGGGCAAGAAGATTCGAGAACCGAACCTCCGGAGATGGGGCTATTTTGCCACTGCAGGTCACGTGTACTCATGTCTGGGTCGGGAAAAACTGCAAAAAAATGGGTTGCAAATACAATTGGGCCACTAATACTTACCATATCTATTAAATAACTGGATAGACAAACCGGTATACTAAAAGCCGGAGAAATACTAAAAAACAAAGACTATTGAGAAATAAGGAAGATTAAGGAATAGGGAGTATTGAGGAATAGAGAATATTGAATGACTAAATATATTAAATAATAAAACGAGAAAGAAGTAGATACGGATAAGAAGTAGATAACAAGAAGTAAAGATATTTAATGCACAATCGAAATCGAACACATACACTGAAACAAGATACTATAAAAATATTCAAAACTGGGAGAGTTATTAAGTAAACATATAATGGGGAAAAATCAAAAAAGACGAAGAAAATGAAAGGAAAAAATGAATGAAGAAATAAAACGAATTGAAACACCAAAGTAAAACCACTACCTCATCCAATAGCCTCTATCAAAAGAGCTCAACCGGTTTTGATTCATCTGCTGAGCTTTAGAATTAGCATACATTTGATCGATGCTAATCTGATTCTGACCATTGCTAGCAAATCTTCTTCTTAAAGGATTCGAATTCGTGTTGGTGTTGGCATACACACTAGAATGCTTGGGTGACTTTTCTTGACTGTTCAAGTAAAGCATTCTGGCTTTGGGAGTCTGTAAAAGATCATTCAATTGCTGACTGATAAGTGGCGTCGAATTATGGAAAAATTCTTTATTTGGGGTTGGTTGCTGGTTATATTGTATTCCTCCATTGCTCTTATATCCATACATACTGTTCTGGGTCATAATTGGTGAAACCACCTGTTTAGGACTCATCACATGCATGGTTTCTGGTGTTGCAACCGTACTTGAAACCGTCGATGAGTTGACAGAAATGCTGTGAGTATCCGATGGAATAGCTGGTAAAAATTCAAGATCAGACTGAATATCAAACGACTTGTGAAGATAGAATGTTCTCAGAGCACTCTTCAACAGTTGGGTTCTTCGTGTGTCTTCCATATTAGCTGTATTCGAGTATTGATGCTGTACGAGTAGAACGAGTTGAACGAATAAATTCAGTGGAACTTATATTTTGTCAATGGTTTTCCGAAAAAACAATTTTTTTGACCTCAATAAAACCTTAGACGGGGTTCTTATATATCAGAAACACTAAAGCCTTTCAAAATCAGTAGTTTTTCAACCTTTTACTTATAAGATCAAAAAGAAGAAGACTTGAAAATTTACAAAACAATTTTTTTTTTTGGTCTTCTTCGCACCAAAAGAAATTGGCCCGTCTCGTTCCAGAGGAAAAATCTTTGGGCCAATTGACAATAAAGAATAAGATCTTACTTGTTTTAAAGAGTCACTATGCTAAAACCCGGACAGTCTGGTGGATCCTGGATTCGGTTCTATTCCACCAAGAAATTCAGCTTGAAGGGTAAACTCAAGACTTCGCCCAAAAATAAGTCTATTCAGCCAACTACCCCGGCAAGAACAAGATTTGCACCTTCACCAACCGGCCATTTACATTTGGGATCATTAAGAACTGCTTTGTATAATTATCTTTTGGCTAAAAGTACCGGTGGACAGTTTTTGTTGAGATTGGAAGATACTGATCAAAAACGATTGGTTGCCGATGCAGAACAGAATATTTATGATAGTTTGAAATGGTGTGGATTGAAAATCGATGAAGGTCCAAATGAAGGTGGACCATATGCACCTTATAGACAATCAGAAAGAATGAATATATATAAGAAGTATGTTGACCAGCTTGTGGAAAGCGGCAAAGCTTATTATTGTAATTGTTCAAAAGAAAGATTATTGGATTTAAGAGAATCGGCAACAAAATTAAAACCTCCAACTACTGTAACTTATGATAGAAAATGTTTTCATGATAACCATCACAGCGATCATAATGCAGAGCAAATCGTCAGATTCAAGTCTCCAGACACTTATAGTTCTTTCACTGATTTGATGCACGGGGAAAAGAATTTGCAACCTCAATATAATCTTCAAGATAGAAGGTACGATGACTTTGTTATTATGAAATCCGATGGTCTACCAACTTATCATTTTGCTAATGTAATCGATGATCATCTTATGGGTATCACCCATGTGATAAGAGGGGAAGAGTGGTTAAGCTCAACTCCTAAGCATATTGCTTTATATGAAGCTTTTGGTTGGAAACCTCCCTCTTACGTTCATATCCCATTATTGACTTCTTTGGAGGATAAAAAACTTTCAAAAAGACAAGGTGATATTGGTATTTTAAGTATGAAAGAAAAAGGTATATTACCGGAAGCAGTAACCAATTTCTGTGCATTATTTGGTTGGTCTCCTACAAGAATTGTTCCTGGTGTAAGTTCAAGCGAAGTGATGACGCTTCACGATTTAATAGATAAGTTTAGTTTGGATACATTAACAAAAGGAAATGCAAAAGTGAAAGACGATAAATTGTTATTTTTCAATAAACATCACTTAAGAAATAGAATCAATGAGCCTGATTCTTTGGATGAGTTGGTGGACTCATACTTTCCTCGCTTTAATGAATTTACAAATGGCAAATATAATAAGGAATATTTGAAAAAACTTCTAATTAGCTTGAGTCAAAGTCTCTCAACAATACATGATATCGAAAACATCCATTCCTATATATTCAAAGATGTTGAACATTCGAAAATTGATGAATCTCAAATCCCTAGTCAAGCAAAAGAAGTCTTGACCATTTTAAAAGATCTCGACCATTCTGATTTCAATTCGTGCATTGATGAAATAACAAAAGCATTACCTGATACTAAGAAAAAGGATATATTTCATTCTATTAGATTTGCACTTTCTGGTGGTATATCTGGTGTCACGATACCTTTGTTAATTGAATTGATCGGTGAAGTCGAGTATAAGAAAAGATTACAAAATGCATTGAACATTCTTTGATTCTCTCAATCCTCCTGTAAATAGTTGATGTATTTAGTGTACATATATATACATATAGAATTACAATCATGAAGCCACGTTAGTTAATAATTTACACCTCTTCATATCCAAATAATCGGACTCATTCGATCTCCGATCAATTGGATCCACATACGTCCCAGTATAGATGCAATGAATTGCCATTTTTGGATGATAGTAAAGACCAGTTAAAAGCTTTGGTGTAACCAAAAAATATTGGGAATTCGATGTTTGACAAGCAGTATTCACTAAATATCGATGTGCCATCTTTTCATTTTTTGGATCCATACCTTGATTTATTTCATCTACTACCCTAAATGGCGCATCAGTTAATCCTTGAAGTGACATGATGAAAAAAATGGTGGATACGGCTCTTTCACCACCAGATTGTGACTGATGGTCTAGAATTTTTAGTTCGGTATTCTCTCTAAATTTAACTAAAATCTGTAATCTCCAATTTTTGAATCGTTCTTCTTTTACCAATTCAACTTGACCATCACTTGCAACAGTAGTAAATCTTTTTTGGAATGCTTTTGAGATTTTGCTTACTGATTTACTCAATTTCGATTCCCAGGTGCTTTGTATACTAGCAATTTGTTTATCGAGATCATCCTTACGTTTCCTCAATCTTGGTAATTCCTTTTCTGCTCTATCGATATCATCTTTCTTTCTCCTCAAAAGTTCAATTGAAGAATGGTCGGCTGCAGACATCACTGATCTTTCATCTTCAAGAAGCATGATTTTTTGGCGAATATGATATTCACTCAATCTATCATTTCTAAGGTATTCTTCTGTTAAGCTTGTTAACTCTCTACGCTCCTCCGGTGTATAGTTAGCACTTTGTTCTTTAACAGTGTTATAGAAATCCTTGTTCTTGTAATCTTTGTATTTAGCAGTGGCAGTATCATACTCTGCTTGTAGTTCTTCTTTTCGAGATTCGAATGTTTGAAGCAAAGCTTTGGTGTTTTCTAGCTGATTCATGATTTGAAAAATCTGAAACTCGTGCTGCTTCAATAAGATACTATTCCTTGCTAATTCTGTGGATATTTCAGAATTCTCCTTAATATATTCGGCCTTAGCTTTGAATTTATCAAGTAATTTTCTTTCTGCTTGCATAATTTTATCAGTTTGGTCTTTTTTAGAACTTTGGGTCAATTTCTTTATGTTTTGTTCTTTGGATTGTAATAATTGTTCTAACCTTTGCTTAGCTTTTACATTTCTCTTTATCTTTTCATATTCAAGGTTCACGGTATTAAGATCACTCTTGAACTTATCATAGTCATCTCTTTTATTCTTAAACTGACTTTGAAGTTCTTGATAATGTTCTTTTTCCTGTGACATCTGTTCCTTCATTTCTGTTATTTCAGAAGAAATTTCTTCCCTTATATGGGAACTTAAACCCGAAACTCCCAAAAATTGAGCCTTCATGACGTTTTCAGATTGGTAAACATATTGACGTGACCCATATTTAGATCTGCTTACGGAAAAGATCGTGTCACCAGCAATGAATCTCATAAATGGAATACGGCCATTATTATCGGGGGTTGTCAACTTTTTGATCGTCAAAGGATCAAAAGCTTTTAATGAAACCGGAATTTGGTTCAAGTTATTTAAAACATTTAAACAATTTAGTACAGTAGGAGGGCCTTTCAATAAATCTGATACATAATAATCAAAACCCCAATCTTTCAAACGATCTTTTGGAACTGGAGGAGGCTTAGGATTATCGGATGTAGTTCTCAATGGAATTCTGAAAGCTCCAACTACTCGCCTGACGGTAGTGAAGGAAGCCTCATCCGGGCAGAAAACAGAAAGCATGGAGTTTCTATCTATACATCTTTCGACATATTTCGCATAATTAGGGTCCACGACATCACAAGATACAATGGGACATTCTTCATACAAATTCTTGAGGCTTGCATCTTGTCTTAAATGCATTATGGCTTTATAGGTAGCTTCCAATTGTTCAGGACGAAACCCTATTGGGCGACTTCTTAAAAGATCAATTTTATCATTTGAATTTAAACGGTTTTGTTTTTCTTTAATAGATCGATCGATTCTAGATAGAATCGACATTTGTCTATCACGATTAGTTTTGATTTCCTCAACGTCAGTTTGTATATCGGTCAACTGAGCATGCTTTTCTTCTCTTGCAGAATTGAGTTCTTGGAGTTCATGTTCATCAACCAGAGGTATATCGTTTAAATTTTTGAGGATTTTATCTTTTTCTTCGTTTTCCTTTTCTAAACTACTCAATATATTATCGTTCCTCTTTTTATAATTTTCGATCTTCATTTTTAAGGTATCAATAGCCTCCTTGACATCCTTGATATCCTGATCTTTTGACTCATATTTCTCAATGAGATCACCATTTTCGTTGAGGAACGTTGATTTAGTTTGTTCTAGTTGAGTATGTTCCGATTCAAGAGAGTGTAGTTTTTCTTCTAATGGACGGGTATTACTTTGGAATTGCTCTAACTTTCTTTTGGCCTCTTCTCTCTGTTCTTTTAATCTTTTCCGTTCGGATTTGAAGTCTTGTATTTGGCCGTAAGGAATTAGCAATGAATGTATATGGATTTCATAGGTCTTTTTTTCGTAATCTTCATATTTTTTCACTTCTTCTTCAAGTTTCCCACTTTCTTCATTCAACTTAGATAGACGATCATCGATGATTTGAATATCTGAAGTCAATTTTAATCGTTCTGAATCAAGGAGAATCAATGATTCATGTTCTTTTAATAACCCCCCATCACCCAAAGTTCTTTCGGTTTCCAACAATAGTCTTTCCGGCGATAAAGTGGCAAACTCTGCAACTCGTTCCTGGGGTAGAAAATGGCATAAGTTATCGAGCTGGATGTTAAATGATTGTACCAATTTCTTAACTGATTTTTCCTCGCTTGAAGATCCATCGATATACCAAGTGGATGACTTTTCTGTAAAATCTCGTTGGATAATGATATTCGGTAAATCATCTTTATTCTTCAATTCTATCATAATAGAGCTTTCGCTACACCCAGTTTTAATCATCGACTTCATGGTCTTTCTTTTGATGAGATCGATTTTCCCGCCCAATCCTAAACAAATTGCCGCTACCAACGTACTTTTACCAGTACCGTTGGGCCCTATGATCATATTCAAAGTGGGCGACAACTTGAATTCGGCAAATGCATACGTAGTGAAATTTTCGACCTTGACATTTATCATATACCCAGGTTTGAAATCTTCTGCATTGTATCCCGGTGTCTGGCTTAGTTTGCTAGTCTTCTTCAACTCCGAGATGTCAATCTTCCTTCTCTTGGATTTGCTCGGTTCTTCTCTCACGTAGGATCCAAAATCACCCACTACGTCTAACGACATGACCAGCTTAGTGAAACCCTTTGAATCAAGTTACCCTGGGATGAATCCAATTTCTTATAAATGTATGGAACTTTTTAACGCGAAATGGCGCGCGCTTATTCTTTCAGTCTTCTTCAGGCTGGATCAACACTATGTTCGCCAGACTCAGTCTCCGGTACTTCTATTCACCTGGTATCTTGCTGGGAGATGCCTTGGAAAGTAAATGAAGATGTATCAAAGGAGTTTCCCTAGCTGTGGGCAGTTTTCCTATCAATAATGGCTAAAACTTGGGGTGTGCGGGTAACGCATTTTTGTTTACGTCTAGAATTTGTGAGAAAACGTAAACATTAATCTAATACGCTCCAAAATAGGTTAAACACTCTGTTAATTGATCTCTTCTTTCCAGTATTAGGTTCTATAGCTAGGAAGCATAAACTGATCATGGTATGTATTACGTGCAATTGGATGTTGCTGATGGGGACACGTTGGTGGTGGGGTGGTTATGGCGTGTTACTCTGAGAGTCGAGAGTGATCCGGTTACTAACGAAGATTCAATAGTCCCAACAAAATAAAACTTATAGAGACGCTTTTGCTCTTTTCGATAAAAAGGGTACCGGAAAGATTCCAGTTGAACACTTGGGTGACTTGTTAAGAGCAGTTGGCCAAAACCCAACTTTAGCTGAAATTTCCGATTTACAAAGTGGAATTGGTGCAAATGAATTTGATTTCGAAACTTATCAAAAAATCATTGACAGACCTGGTGGATTCAAACCTTTGGGTCACCCAGAAGAATACATAAAAGGTTTCCAAGTTTTCGATAAAGAAAACACCGGTTACATTGGTGTTGGTGAATTGAGATACATTTTGACTTCTATTGGTGAAAAATTAACCGATTCTGAAGTCGATGAATTATTGAAAGGTGTCAATGTCACTTCCGATGGTAATGTGGACTACGTTGAATTTGTTAAATCCATTTTGGATCAATAATTGTGTTGTTTAAATGTATACTTTGTTTATTTTGTTTTTTGATCTTTCTTTCTTTTTCTTTGTATTTCTGATCACTTACTGATAGAAGTTCTTTATATACAAACAATATTTGGCAGATTTGTGTTTTGAAAGCTTGGTTTTCATTGGCAATTCCCAGATACTTTTGACTCTAATTTCCTTGATACCTCTATATATTAATGTATATATTGCTCTAATCGTGACTTTAGGATGTGCTGTAGCTTGGCTGTATTTGTGAACAGAAAAGCCATCTTCCCCCGATATCGTTGATAATGTTTAATATCTACTTCCCCATACAATTCTAACCTTTATGCTCTATGCTTTATCCATAGCGAACCCTTTATTAATATTTGGTGTACGGATCCAACTCTCTGGAAAAATTTATTTAACGTTCAAGCTAGATTTAACGACTTGACCAAGGCGAACTTGATCCAGCAAAGAAGATGTCTCTCAAGCAAGATGACCATGATAGCTCTATAGAGGTCGGTTCTGTATTCAGCTCGACTGAACCAGAAGCTATGGATATACGTGCCAATGAAAGATTTCATCTCCTTCCCAGAGAAAGACTTGGAGTTATTGGTACTTTGGGAGGTATAGTCGGTGCCATGTCAGGATTTTACGAAGGTATAAAGCTTTCTTCCTTACGTTATTTGGTGGAAAATGGCCACCGTCTTCCACGTACCGTTGGTGGCTGGTATTTTTATCATAAAAAGAAAAATTATGTCATGATTTTAAATGGTTGTAGACAAGGTTTGAAGACTGGTTCTAAATATGCTGCTGGAGTTACTGCATTTTTTGGTATGGAATACTTGTTTGATGTGTATTTAAGAAATAATACCATTGATTTCTTGAATACCACTTTAACTGGGGTAATTATGGCTGGTTTGTATGGTAGATTACATCAATTAAGTCGGGTACAAAGCATCAATTACATAAAGAAAGGTGGTTTCCTTGGATTGAGTATTGGAATCACTCAAGATTTAATGATTTGGACTAGAGGTGGTTACATTTGGTACTTGCATAAACTTGGTATTAAGAATCCAAGATTTCAAAAACAATCGGAATCTCCGTTCAAAGCATAATTTATTTATTAACTTGTAAATAGTGTATATTAATAATTTCAATGTCTAGATACTACGTTTGTTGTTTATTCTTCTTCTTCTTCTTCTTCTTCTTCCTCTTCATCTAAGTCTGCCACTGGGTATTTCAAGATGGATGCAACCCCGGTTAGTTGATCTAGCTGTTCCCCTGATTCATGAAGACTAGAGAATATTAAAACTTCACCTCCCTGGCTTTTGACTTCATCACTTAACTTAATGTAATGTTTCCTTACTGAAATATCATCACTTCTGAATAAGGTGTCGGTAAGTAATAAATATTTGACTGCTCCAATCTCTACTGCTTTTGCCACTTCTGAAGGACCATACCATGCTTTATCATCATCATCATTTAAAGATTTTTGAAATTCATCAAAAATATTGACTTCCCTAGCATATTTGGTATCATTCAATCGTTTCTGAACTGATGGGTCCTTTAAAACTTCTTCTAAACCTTGTAAATATCCTGTTGAAGAATGAACAACCAAAAATTTGGACTTATTCTTCATGATTAATTTGTTGTCGTCTTTTACCGCATGCTCCATGATATTTTTCTGTAATAAACTTGCAGTGAAACCAGGGGATGCTAGTATGACTACTTTTAGTTTTGTTAAGTCAAAATTTCTTAACATGGTCGATTGTACCATATCGAGAAATTTCGTAATAGCTTTATCATGGTTTCCACCTCCACCTTCTCCTCGACTTTTACGAGGAATCGACTTCTCTATCTTGTTTCTTAAAACAGTCATATTATCAGTCAACAAGCATAAATGGGCTACCCCTTCTTCCATCACTATAGCTCCAACCTCTGCTCTGGTTTCTACAGACGATGCTGCCAAAATTATACCATAGCTTATGTCATCCCATTCTGGTTTAGTGATTCTCAAAGATTTTTGCAATTGAACTTCTGCAGTGTGGAAACTTTGATTAGGGACGTATTGGTTTTGTTCAGTAGTTTTACCTTTAATTCTCATTGATTCATCCGATGGAGCATACTCAATATCAGAAACAGCCAATTTCAATCTTAGTAGTTTTCTTTCAGTTTTACCTTTATCTTTACCGTCAGTTGCACCACTACCCGTGGTCTTCTTAACATTTCTATAAGTCGATAACTCTACCTCATCTCCTTTTTGAATTAAATTATACAATTGCCACAAATCTTCTTTGTCTTGAGGCACTATGGAAATACTTCCACTTTTATCCTTCTCTAGTTCAATTGTCTTATCGAGAAGCTTCATGGTTGTTGTGATTAAAGAAGATAACGGAACAGTCTTGGAATCTCGAAACTGCTCAAAATTTTTTTATTTTTTTTTTTGGTATTTTAATTGCGATGTTCCATAAAAAGCTAAAGTACTTACAAATTTGCTATATTGAAATGAGATCTATTTATATGAACATAAAAAATGAATGGGAGCGATTATTTAACTTCAGCTTTGACTATAGTAGAGTTTTTACATAATTCACCTTTTTCATTAACCAATCTAGCTGGTGATTTGCCTTCTTCGGTATAGGTGACTTCGAAAGCTTCAGAAGTAGAGAAATGTTCTTGAACAGTTTCCCAAACTTTCTTTTTTGGATTTAATTGTTTTTCTGGAGTACCATTGAAACCTTCAAAGAAGAGTTTATCACCGGCTTTAGAACCAGCTGGTGGGTTAACGAATTCGACAGTTTCAGAATTTGAAGCACATAAAACCATAGCACATGATTTGACACCTCTCATGGTGACTGGTTTTAAGTTTGCAATACAAACAACGTATCTTTCTTGCATTTCTTCAATTGGGATGTATTTAACTAAACCAGAACAAACGGTTCTTGGACCTTCTTCATCACCCATATCAATAGTGGACATGTAAAGAGAATCGGCATTTGGATGTTTGACAGCTTTTTGAATAAAACCAACTCTGAAATCAACCAAAGAAGGATTTGGAGGAACAGCAGTAGCTTGTTGTTTAGCTTGAGATTCAGCTTTAGCTTTAGCCTTGGCAGCCTTTTTAGCTTTAGCAGCTTCGGCTTTAGCAGCCTTTTCTTCTTCGCTTGGTTCACCTTTTTGAGCAGGAGCAGCATCTGCTTTTTTGTCAGCCTTCTTATCGGCCTTTTTATCACCACCTTGAGCAGCTGCACCAGCGGCAGCTGGTTTTTTCTTTTCTTTGACTTCTTTATCGACTTTAGCATTAACATCAACCTTTAATTGATCAGCTTCTGGTACTTCAACAAGAGTATTTTGAATCAAATCAGCCCATCTCAAGATATGTCTGAATTTGGCAACTTCTTCTGGAGATGACCACTTAGAAGCAATAGGTATTGGAGAAAGCAATTAAATCAGCTTTTGATGGAACGTTACCAACAATAAAAGTCTTGCTTCTCAAGTTGTCATTCAAACTAACTAAATTTTCAGCTTCATCAAATCTGGAAGATAAAGTTTCATACTGAGATGACAATGCTTTTTCTTCGTTGGATAATTCAGGAAAAGAAGCTTCTTTGGCTTCTGGTATATCACTGAGTGATAATTTCTTAAAGTTGGTGATAAAGTCGGCCATGTTTAATATTAATCCTATCGTAGAGTTCGACTTGAGCTAACACTTCTTAAGTAATTCAAGGAATTAAAAGAAAAAAATAGCGAAAAAAAAAAAAAGCACCATTTTGATTTCCGGGTATTGTCACGTGATCCTCTTAAGTGACTAATAGCTGCAAATTTTAAAGCTTTTCAGTTAAAAATTCCTACAAGGCCAACACAGGGAGATGTTTAAATCACTTCTTTTATCTACGTTTATAAGTGGCATTCTTGTTGAAATAATACTACTTTATGTGGATTCTTGCTTATTTTTGGCGAAAAAAGAATAATAATTAGATAATTGTCTACAAGCGGTGACAGTAAGTTATGTTATTTAAACTATTTTTCTTGAGGATAGATTAAACCATTTTCTAATCTAGCCTTATCCATAATGCCCATTACAAGCAAGGTTTCAGACCATGGTAAAACGCTGCTTTCAATTTTCCCTTCATTAATTTCTTTTGCAATCGAATTGGCTTCGTAGATAAATCCATTGTAATCATTCTTTTCTTCAAAAACAATTGGACTTTTAGATTTATCGGTGAAAGTGATTTTGAAATTTTTGGGACGGGCAGGATTATCGCTCCACATTTCCAAGACCGCTTCAGTACCTTCGAGTCTTACAAACGAATCTGGTCCATTGGTATGATTTGAACTAGTCAAGATTCCTTGTTTGCCATTTTCATACTTAATTAAGATAGTTGAATCATGGTCGACCTTATCAGTTGGGTCAAGTGAAAGGAAAGATTTTGTATCAAAAGGAGTTGAGTTTTCACCCAATTTATCATCAAGTAAGATTCTACCGTAAGTAACAGAGTAAATTCCTATATCCAAAGTAGCACCGGCACCCAACTTTATATCACGGCCCCTCAGGGAGGTTGGAAGTTTTTCCACTTCGAAATTCATTGAGAAATCGGCGAATAATTTGTATACTTCACCCAAAGTTTTCTTTTCAAATATATGTTCTCTGATTAATTTAACAGAAGGGAAGAAACGAGTCCATACTCCTTCCATCAAGAATTTGTTCTTCGATTTGGCCAATTCAATCAACTCTCTGGCATCTTTCGCGTTAAGGGTAATTGGTTTTTCAACCAATACGTGTTTACCGTTTTCTAAAGATTGGGTAACTTGTTCTTTATGGAAAGTATGAGGAGTACCAACGTATACAATATCGATTTTACCATTTTTATAGAAATCGTCGTACTCTTCAGTTATAGCCTCAACCCCATTGTTATTGCTAGTTTTAATACCATTGCTTTTTATGAAGTCTTCACCTTTGGATGCGGAGGAACTACCAACTGATATTATTGTATGCTTGATTGAGCCTTCTGGATCGACGTTATTGACCAATAGATCATGCACAAACTGTCCTGAGATGTTACCAGCACCTAAGATACCCCAATTGAGAGTAATTGTCATTTTGAGTTTCTGTAATTAAACGTATTAAAAGGGAGAGAAACATAGTCTTTTCTTTTAAATACCGTTCATTTTTTTTTTTTTTTTTTTTTTTTTTTTTTGCCGTGTTGCACACTAAAAGAAGGACGTTACATTTTCGATAACACCTATCCATTGCCCCAGGGTTACATTTTGATTTTGACATACGGGGACGGGTATATAAATAGACAGGTAAGCCATATATTCATATTGGAAGAGTAAACTCGATGGTAAAGATGACTGTGACACACCACGATAGGATTGAAAAAGATGGATTCACTATAGTGAGAGGAATCCTTACCCCGGATCAAATATCATACTACAAAAGGGCCTCGCAGGAAGTGGTTGATTACGCCAGAGAAGGGAAATGGCCGCATGTTAGAACCAGAGGGAAACAATTCCCACCTTGGCCTAAGAACTTTAGTCCTGATATTTGGGGGATCAGTGGTTTGCTTAACCCTGACTTAAAAGAATTACTGAAGCCATTTCAAGAGTGCTATTGTTTAAAGCCATTATTGGACGTTGCAAGTGATATTCTACAAACCACTAATGAAGAATTGTCGATGGAACTATTCAATATGCTAATCAATCCGTTGACTGATTTTGATTTAGAATGGCATCGAGACTATATACGCCCCGAAGCCCCAGAAGAAGAAGAAAAAACCGAGTTATTGAAAGACCCATACGCTGGAACCCAATTTAATTTGGCTCTTACTGAAGACAAGTGTCTAATTGTTGTGCCTGGATCTCATAAAAGAGTTAGAACACCAGAAGAACGCACCAAAACATCTAACGATAATCGCAAAGAGTTTATTTCAAATCAATTATTAGTCGAATTACATCCTGGAGATGTAGTTTTCTACAATAGTAATATTTTACATCGTGCAACCTACTCCGCTGCTGACCTAAGATTAACCTTACACGGATCGTATGGGCATTCTTTACATGGTAAAACTAGAGCAAAGGGTGTTTTACAACATGGGGTAGCCGAATGGTTACCGAGATTTCAGCCAACCCAACCACAATTGGTCCAAATGCGCAGCCACTTGGAGGCCACTTGCAAAGAGTTTGAAGGAGTCAACTTGGGCTACTCGCTTGACGGATGATCAATTAAATCAATATAAATCAATATAAATCAATTAAATCAGTAAAAACCCATATATCGTAAATCCGAACCTGTATCTAACTGTATAAAACGAATTATACGGACTCGGAGTGGAGTGACGCACAACCGCACACCGAGGACATAAAATCCGTACCTTTTGCTCTTTGTCTCGTTCAACTTCAACAAAAGCCTAGTATTGTCTTCAAATCAGACTGGATAGGTTGAAGCAGGTTAGATATTTAGATTAGACTAAAGCACGGAAGTGATCCAAGTGTCATGTCGGAGCAAACTCCAACCAACAATCCCGTGGGGAAACGAAAGAAAACGAATAGAGCATGTAATCATTGTCATAAGGCCCATATGCCTTGTACCAATAGTAGGCCTTGTTTAAGATGTATTCAACGAGGCCTTCAAGATACTTGTGAAGATGCCCCCAGAAAGAGAAAGAAGTATTTGGCGGATGTTCCAACTCAAGATTTAGCACCAAGAAATAGCAATGGAGGTAGTGGGGCTGGAATGGGAATATCACCTCCAAATAGCTATCAATCAACCCCATTTCAACATAGTGCTACTGCTCCAATAAATAACTATGAATTCAATAACCCGGCAACGAATTTAACCAGAACCGCTACACAATCATTGATTAAAGAAGAACCAAATCTGTCATTTTATTCCAGTAATGATAAGTTATTTAACTTGAATGAATTTGGTACAAATGATCAACGAACTAAAGAATTTAACTTTCCGAATCAACAACAGCCTCAGCCCACTTATCGTAAAAGAACCAATTTTCTAAGTTCTGCTGCAGATCTTGAATATTCTACATTATCTAATATTCTTCAAGATAATTTTATGCATATAAATCATCCTTCTTCAACTTCTGCTGAAGGTACTCCTAATTCCATCAATTTATCCCCTGCATTATCGCCTCACAATTTTGCCAACCAGGGCCTTACAGCAACTACTCCATCAACGAGTAATATAAGAGGAATTGGGTCACCTCAATCACAATCACAATCACAAAATCATCCTCAAAATCAATCATTACAACAACGTCATTTCCATAATTCAAAAAACTTGTCTCCTTATGTATCAGGACCATCGCAAAGTCCTTCACCTCAACATAATGGACGTAAAAGTAATGATTATTATAATTCTAGTTTCCCTAAATGTGATGAATCAATAAATCAATACTTCTTAGGACTGACTGGATCAGATAACTTGACTGTCTTCCCTGATATTATAATGGCAATTGAATCGATGAAAGAAAGTGATCCTTCAGTATATCATGAACGTAATTCAAAACTGGTACTATCATTTGCCATTGGGATAGTGCCCGATGATAACTACGGAGAATTAGATTTACATTTTAAAGAACCAGAAGAAATATATGCTAAAGTTACCAAACCTTTTTCATATACTCCAGGATATCATTCATTGATTGCTTATTTACGGAAAAGATTCCCAAAAGAAATGTTGGTCAAAATGGCCGAATCCATGGCTGCTTATAGACCGAGTTTCATTGCATGTACTAATTCATTAAAGGAAGGAGATTTAATTTTCATGGAACAGTGTTTTCAAAGGACTTTATTAACCTATGATAATTTTATAAAAGTTAGTGGGACCCCAACAATTGTTTGGAGACGTACGGGAGAAATTGCTTACGTTGGTAATGAATTCAGTATACTTACCGGATGGACCAAAGAAGAATTGATCACGAAAAAGAAAACATTTATTGTAGAACTATTAGATGATAAATCAGTTGTTGAATACTTTCAATTATTTCTGAGAATTGCATTTGGTGATTTCTTAGGGGCCACCATGACTGAGTGTTCTTTGCTAACACCAAAGGAAGGAGTTAAAATACGGACTGGGTGTATGTGGACTTTGAAAAGAGATGTTTTCGGTATTCCAATGATGATTATTGGTAATTTCTTGCCGATTGTTTAGACGGGGTTTTCATATTTTGCATCTTTTAATTGTAACGACGTTTATGTAACGGTCTTATCTGTAGGATTTTTTTTTTTTTTTTTTTTTCTTTCGATTGATTAAAGCGTTGGTGGCCTTTGCCTTTTCACAAAACTTCAGGCACAACAAAAACTTAGCAATCAAAAAACCACTTACTGGAGGATTGCAAGACTTACTAGAACATTAGCAGTAAAGATGAGCTCGTTAACACCTCAATTGGTTGGGTCAATTGCTATAATATGTCTTGGATCACTTCAATTTGGATATCATATGGCAGAACTTAATTCTCCGGAAGCAGTTTATTCATGTAAAAAATCAGTTCCAGGGAATGTTCCTTATGATAAGTCGTTGTTTGGTAGTCATGGATTTACTCGGTGTATTCCATTAGAACCACAACAGGTTGGGTTGGTTACGTCTATTTTTTGTATTGGAGGATTAATCGGATCCTTTTATGTTGGCAGTATTGCTGATAAGATTGGTAGAAGAAAGACTGCTTTTTTACATTCATTACTTTATTTCATTGGTTCGAGTTTAAATGGATTGAGTATTAATTATTATTCGTTATTAGTTGGTAGATTTATTGCTGGGTTAGGTGCTGGTGCAGCATTGGTTATAACTGCAGTTTTTATCAACGAAATTGCTCCAAATGAACATAAAGGATTATTAGGATCTATGAATCAAGTATCAATCAACATTGGTATTTTGCTTACTCAAGTATTATCATTGAGCTGGACTAATGATAATCAATGGAGATATTTATTATTGACTGGGTCTTTAATTTCAATTATCAACTTTATATCGGTTTTATTATTTTTAGATGAATCTCCTCTGTGGTTATTTAATAATGGTTATTCAAGTCAAGCATTTAGAGCTTTACATAAGTTACGTGGGGGTGAGTACATTCAAGCAAGAAACGAAGTGAATAGTTGGTCACAAGAAGTTGGTGACGAATCAAATCAGTTATTACATAATGAAAACGAAGAAGAAGAAGAACAAGCCGGTACTACGAGTCCTCCGGCAGTTACTCTTGAAATGTACCTCAAGTCATCGGAGTATTACAATTCAAAACTAGTTGCAACTGGTATATTAGTATTACAACAATTTTGTGGTATAAACTCAATTATTTTTTATGGAGTATCAGTATTGATATCAATTTTCCCCAACCATGCAATTATCATTAACTGTTTGATTTCCCTAGTTAATGCCGTGGTTACTTTTGGCTCTTCGCTATTTGTCGATAGACTAGGTAGAAAACCATTACTATTAACGTCAGTTACCTTTTTGGGTATTTCGACTGCAGTAATGGCCATTGGTATAATTAGTAAAAGCTCAGTCTTATCGGTAGTTGCAACTTTCACCTATATTACATTTTTCGCAATTGGTTTAGGTCCCATCCCATTCTTACTAGTTGGAGAAGTTACTCAACCAAAGGCAAAGGCAAGTGCACAAAGTTGGGGTACTACAATGAATTGGGTTGCAACTTTTATAGTTGGTTATTTATTCCCAATATTGAAAAATTCTTCGATTGGTGGTGGGGTTTACTTTATTTTCACCTTTATGTGTGTAGTTAGCTATATTTTCATCAAAGGGTGTATCCCAGAAACCAAAGGCACTAAGTCCTACGAAGAAGTATGGAATTTAAGGGCTGATTAGAATAAATATACTTTTATCAAGGTCTCTCTGTAGTACAAACAAAAATCAACTAGTTACTTTTTTCCTCATAAGATTGACTCGTCACGTGTGAATACTTAGGGCTCAGCCCTGGTCGTGGAAAGAAAATCAAAAAATGAGCGGCCCTCCTGTACACAGCACCATCAATTTTTTACTCACTCAATTTTATTTTTTTTTTTTTTGTTTTGTTAGCAAAACCATTTTCTCTGCCCTTGAGCAAATACTCTGAGGCTACCAGAGGGAAAAAAGTTTTTTTCATATATTTAATTTTTCATATTAGTTATTTTAGAAGGTTATTAAGATTAATCTATATCATTAACAATGCCAACCAGATTAACCAAAACCAGAAAACACAGAGGTAACGTCTCAGGTATGTAATGAATCTATTGAGTTGACTTTGCCATTAGAACGTTTGAGATGGAGGATGTTTGAGATGGATATTTGAAGATGTGATGAAGAGATGAAAAATGTTTTAAAGATTGTACTAGAATATGATAATAATAAGAATAATAAGAATAATAATTGAATAAGATGAAGATAATGAGACGACAATAGAATAGGATAAATATCACGGTGGAATAGGATAAGAATATCAAACATCACATTGACGTTTTGGCTATTAAAAACTTTTATACTAACAATATTATAGCCGGTAAGGGTAGAATCGGTAAACACAGAAAGAATCCTGGTGGTCGTGGTAGAGCTGGTGGTCAACATCACCACAGAACCAACTTGGATAAATACCATCCAGGTTACTTCGGTAAAGTTGGTATGAGATACTTCCACAAACAAGGTAACCACTTCTGGAGACCAGAATTAAACTTGGAAAAATTATGGACTTTAGTTGATGAAGATAAAAAAGAAGAATACTTAAAATCTGCTTCTAAATCTGCTGCTCCAGTTATTGATACTTTAGCTCACGGTTACGGTAAAGTTTTAGGTAAAGGTAGATTACCACAAGTTCCAGTCATTGTCAAAGCTAGATTTGTTTCCAAATTAGCTGAAGAAAAAATTAGAGCTGCTGGTGGTGTCGTTGAATTAGTTGCCTAAACTTAAAAGGGTCTTGTTTTTTGTTATTTAAATTCCTATTGTATATTTAATGCTCTTTATTGGCAAAAATAAACTCTTACCAACTCAATAAATAATCTAACGTTTAATCTATTTGTAGTATAAGTAAAATCTTTATTAAAAATTATATTAGTGTGGATTTTTTTGGGTGCATGGGTGTTTTCGCCCAGCGATGCCTTTTGTTTACTTTTCGAATGAATAGGATGAGTTTTTACAAAAACCAATTAATTTAAAGGTTTCTTCTTGAAAGTATTTATGATAAGATCAGGATATTCATACCTTATTAGATCATCATTGGGCTGTCCGACCATAAGAAGAATGACTACTTCGATGACCACTTCCGATCCAGTTAAGCAAAACTTGCATTATGATATAACTGAAAATATATGGCAACCAGAAACTGCCATACCAGATAGAATTAAGAAATTACTTACCCCAACGTCTTCACTGACTAATTCTATTCTTGCATTTATTCAAATTGTTAGACTTTTGAAAACTCAAAAAAGAACCGGCTGGGTTGATAGAGGTGTTCCATTAGAGAAAACTGAAAGTATTTCTGATCATATGTATCGTATGTCGATTATATCAATGGCTATTCCTAACGATAAGATTAATATCGATAGATGTGTTAAGATTGCAGTTATTCATGATATCGCTGAAGCCTTAGTTGGCGATATTACTCCATTTGGAGGGGTTTCCAAAACTGAAAAACATCGTAGAGAATTAATCACTATCCATTATTTATCAAGTTTAATTGAACCTTATAACCCAACTTTCGCCAAAGATATCTTGGAATTGTGGTTGGATTATGAAGAAATCAGATGTATCGAAGCTCAGTACGTAAAAGATATTGATAAATTTGAAATGATCCAACAAGCTTGGGATTATGAACAAGACTATGGATTAAAATATGATTTAAACGAATTTTATAAATCCAGATCCGCCATAAAGTCAAAAGAAATCGGTGATCTCTGTGATGAAGTTATTAAACAAAGAACCAAGTTCATTAATGACTTGAAAGATAATCAGTAGTCTAGAAATTTGCATATATTTATTTATATTTCAATATTAACAGCCTAATCAATCGCACAAAAAACTAATATAAAAGAAAATATATACATACAAAAAAATTCAGTCATTAGTAATACAATCAGTAATACTCTCAACATGACCCAGCCAACGAAAGACACCCAAGAGGACCAAGGAAAACCAGAGGTTGGGGCTTCGGGGCGTAAAATCATCTATGATAAAGATGGTAAACCGTATGTATGAAGGGTTGGGTTACAGCGACTCAAATACTAACTTCAAAGACAGATGTCGATCATGCAATTCATTACTAGACTTTAAATTCGCCATGTCCGGTGGGAATCCTATCAAGAAAGAGAAAGTTGAACAACCTCAAGAACCCAAAGAGTGCCCACCTGATGTTGAGCAATTAGGAAGATCCTCATGGACTTTACTTCATTCCATTGCAGCCAGATACCCAGAAACACCTCTGAATAAGCAGCAAGCTGATTTAAAACAATTCATTAAACTTTTTGGGAATTTCTACCCTTGTTGGTTTTGCGCTAAAGATTTTAAGGAATATATTGAATTGAAAGAACCAAATACTACTACTCAAGATAATTTTGGTAAATGGTTATGTGGAGCTCATAATGAAGTCAATAAAAAATTAGGTAAACCTGAATTTGACTGTAATTTATGGAAAGAAAGATGGAAAGATGGTTGGAAAGATGGTAGCTGTGATTAATTGTAAATATTATTACTTGTAAATATATTAATGTATATACTATATGGATTTAATCCATTCAATTAAATCAGATTCTTTGAAAGTATCTAAATTTGGTTGAAATTTATCAGTAGGCATTTGTTTTTGCAATAAGAGTAAAGTAGGTACTTTATTAATAGCATAAGTACTCATTATGTCTCTTCCTCCTTCAGTATCACAAGAAATGTTCACCAAGCCAACCGCAGGGGAATTTGATGGGTACTTTTTAGAATCACTTAAAACGTCAAATAATGGTTTGGTTAACTTATTGCAATTCTTATCTCCAGGATAAGTAAAGTTCAATATTAACGGGTATTTGAATAATAAATGGTTGTGAAGTTCGTTATTTGACTCAATATAAGTTGGAAATAGCCTATTCTCAGTAGTTATATTCTTAACGTCTGGTGGATAAATGATTTTTTGTCCAAAATAATTGAACAAGAAGAAAGTTCTCCTGAAACTTAAGTTGATACCGATTGACTTGGCCGAATTATATCTAATAGACAACATTACTGTTTAATAAAGTAGAATATGTATAATGTCTTTAGATTTCATTTGGGGAATTTCATCAAGTCTGACTACACCCGTACCTCTCCCCTTTCCTTGTACAAGTACATATCCCAACCAGTCCAATATACAAAGGATTGCTGTTAGCAAATGGTTGTATGGGTCGGCTGAAACACATTCAACAACTCTACTGGTATTGTTGGCGATTGTTGGCGATTGTTACTGATTTTTTTGATAACCCACGGCACTTAAAGAATAAACGAAACGGCTGCAACCATCAGTTGAGAAACCAATATTAAGGTTTTGGAGTTGAAAAATCTCATGACAATGCCAGGTTGTGTATGATTTGAAAGATGGGTTTGTGATTTTGAGTCGACTTTCATGATTGGTTCCTTGATCCCAATCATATTATTGAAATAGCTCAAACCGTTAACCTACGAAGACCGAAATCCATTTTTGACATTGCCCCCATGGAGAAATACCACCAATAAGCGAGCAACCTCATTGTAACGTCCATCAATGCGTTAAAATTAAACGGTAAGGGGGTATTAATTTTCGAGAGTTTGCAATTCTTTTGACATACCCCGAATTCGGGTATAAACGTTAATGCTCATTACCTTCTTATGGCCCTGTTCTGGCCGTGGGTTATGACCTGCTCCATTGCTGCTTAACGGTTCTCCTTGCGATGGCTGCTAGCCTCGTTATATAGTTGATAAAACTAACCAGTCGACAAAGTTGGCAGTCAACAAAGCTAACAAAGTCGAGTTTGCATCTAATGCTTGATCTGACCAAATCGGCATTTTGTCGCTGTTCCTAATCGACCCCAGCGTTCTTCGTCGTCACTGGACAGCCCTACTCTCCTTACGCCTCTTTGCCTAGTATAAATCTACGTCAATTTCCCCTTGTATCTTCCAAACGTATCTTGTACTCTTTGTATACGTCGAACAGTTTTTCACCTTCGCACACTGTTCGCTTCGGGTCGAACAAAAAGAAAAAAAAAAAGAAAAAAAAAAAATTCACAGGATTTGTCATACATTATAAAGCCAGTTTATTAATTACTTACTATTATTACCGTCTTTTACTAATAAGAAATTATAAATCTATATATATACAGTTGTCACATATATATATATAGTATTATTGGATTCTGATCTAACTTTGAAGCCTATAGAAGGTATTTATAATTTCCCGGACATAAATAAAGGCTTGACAATCTAGTATGGCTCCACCAATTGAACAACCGATTCCGGTTTCGTCTGGATCTTCCATTAATAGTAATGAGACTCCAGGTGAAGCATACCATATAAACCTGGAAGCATTTCAAAGAATGCCTCTTATATCACCTAACCTAACACCAAGCCAAACCAATGTTTCTCCTCAAATCCCACCAGTTATCAGTCAAGATGAACGTAAAGCCTTACCGATTCATGACGAATTACCAATAGTTAGGTGTATGGCTAGAGCCCGTATTCCAACTACTCAGGGCCCGGAGATTTTCTTGCATATCTATGAAAATAGCATTGATAATAAAGAGCATTTGGCTATTGTCTTTGGCGAGGATATTCGTTCAGAATCTTTATTTGCACAAAGAAAAGGTGAATCTCAACAGGATAGAATGACTAGAGGTGCTTACGTTGGTAAATTATTTCCTGGTCGAGTTGATGCTGATAGGGATACTAGATCTAATCAGATTTTAAAATTTGATTCCAATGGTAAATTAATTAGAGAACCATCAACGACTTTTGCCGGTGAACCTGCTTTAGTTCGTATTCATTCGGAATGCTACACTGGTGAAACGGCTTGGTCTGCTCGTTGTGATTGTGGTGAACAATTTGATGAAGCTGGTAAACAAATGGGGTTGGCTGGTCATGGCTGCATGGTTTATTTAAGACAAGAAGGTAGAGGTATTGGTTTAGGTGAAAAATTAAAAGCTTATAATTTACAAGATTTAGGTGCTGATACCGTTCAAGCCAATTTGATCTTGAAACATCCTGCTGACGGTAGATCTTTTTCTTTGGCCACTGCTATCTTGGTTGATTTAGGTTTGGCAGAAATAAAATTACTTACCAATAATCCAGATAAAATCTTGGCCGTTGAAGGTAAAAATCAAGATGTTAAAGTCACTGAAAGAATCCCAATGATTCCAAAAGCTTGGACCTCAACTGATGGTATCAAATCAAAGGAAATTGAAGGTTACTTGAGCACTAAAATTGAAAGAATGGGTCATTTATTAGAAAAACCAATTCAGATTTAGACTTCGAGTTCTAAACAAAAATAAGAAAAAAAAAAAAAAAACAGAAAAAAAAAATACCCATGATTATGCTACATTATAAAAAACAGTTCAAAAAAGAGGGCTTTCATATCATTGTTCTAATGAATTTACGATCTATATACATTTCACCATTAAGTTAAGTTATTATTTTTAGAATTAAGTTTGCTAAACTTGATTTTCCTATTTCAAATCTCTATAAAGTATTGTTAAGCTTCTCCAAGTTAAGTTAAGTTCCTTTTTTTTTAATTCGATTAAAGTTAAGTTAAGTTTTTATTCTATCTCTTTTTATTATTTTTCAGTTCGTTATTGCTTACAATATACATAGTCAGTTTGATATTTTAATTTTGTAGCTTTATTCAGGCATAATAAAGAGTGTAAGACCAATATGATTCTTTGACTGATCTGTATATCGATTGAATTAAATCAAACTCGTAAATAGACGTCAAATTTAGTTTTACAGTTTGGTTGCGCAAAAAATAGAGTTTCTGTGCTGCACGTCTGTTATTGCGTGCCCTTTATTAAAAAACACCAAAAATCCATTAATGGAGGTTAATCAAATGCTTCAGCTCCAGTAGCTGAGTCTTTCCAAAAGGCGCTTGAAAACATTCAGAAACTTAAAGATACAACGTATATTGAAACTATTGAAAAAATTGAATACCGAATTTGAAGAAACAGAAAAAAAATGAATAAAGGTATGAAATAAAAGCTACCAAATCGCCTGAGAAATACATTTCCAGCCTGAAGTTGAAAACTTATATGTTTTATATGTTTTCAAATGTCAAAGCTTTCGAATTTGTCTTTTTTTCGTTTTTTGATTTTTTTTTTCATTTTTTTTTTTTCATTTTTTTTTTTGATTTTTTGCAGCTGTTGCATTTTCTTTAAAAAAAACCGTTCCTAAGTTTAGTTCTACTAAACTTCAGTTGAGTTCAAGAAAGGACCAAATCTCTTATTGAAATCAGTCAAGTTGAGTGTTTTATCAATAACAGCTCTTTTACCCAAGCCAGTTAAGTTGAGTCTTTTTTCAATGCCAGTTAGGTTGAATCTCTTATCGTTTTGAAGATCTCTTTTGCCGAAGCCGGTAAAGTTGAATTTTTTGTCAAGACCTGTTAAGTTGAATCTTTTGTCATTATTTATTTCCCTTTTGCCCAAGCTAGTCAAGTTGAATCTTTTTTCAAACCCAGTCAAGTTGGATCTTTTTTCAAACCCAGTCAAGTTGGATCTTTTTTCAAACCCAGTCAAGTTGAATCTTTTTTCAAACCCAGTCAAGTTGAATCTCTTACCAAGATCGCCTTCATCAGTAGCACTTCTTTTTTCAATATTAGTAAAGTTAGATCTTTTGTCGGCTTGATAATCATGACTGTTTTTTGGTTGCACATTTAAAAGAGTAGCAAATTCTCTTTTTTCGAAACCTGGGGTAGTGAACCTTTTTTCATGTTCTTTGATGAACTCTTCAGCTTCTTCTCTTTTATTGAATTTGATTATGGTCGTTGCGCCATTTTCATGTTGTTTTTCAACTGGAACACCGTCATCATTTCCACTTAACAGAATTTTGCAATTGTAAGTACCGGCAGTTATAGCTATACAACTAAAGTGACCTAAATTATCTGGAAGCTCTTCAACCTCAGTCAATTGCTTGGTAGTATAACGTTGAAAGTGAGCTGAGATGCATAAAATCAAAGTAAAGATAAAGGTTAAGTATTTGAATTGCATTGTTAAAGGATATTTGTTAATTATCAAATCAGTAATAATATTTTGTTGGAATTCTTAGGAACTTTATATAGAAAATTTCGAATGACTATGATTAAAAGGGTTATTTAGGTAATTGAAAATGGTTATAAACTGAATCAAGGTTGACAATAAACGGTTGAGCAACTAATTTAATTAGCTGCTTATTGTAAATCTATTCACCATGAGTCGTTTCAAACGTATTTGATATGGCGTCGCCCTTCTTGACATAAGATAGATTTAAAGCAAAGTCCCGGCGACACGTTTACCTAAATTCCCAACCGATTTTTCAAAGAAATTTGCAGCTAAAGTTTAGAGCAATTGCTTCAAAAAGCCATTTTCAAACGTAGAGAGTAGCCCTAGTTCGCGTAGGACTGCTACGTTTTGTAGTGGTATAACTAACTTTTTATGAAATTCGGAACGGTAAGGAGATGTCATTAGTAATTGTCTCAGTTTTGCATAAGGTATGATTTGTAATGAAAGGCTGTAGCCAACCATCCCCCTTTTCAAGAAATGTAGAAACGTTTGTTGCAAGATAAGTCAAGTGACAGGTTTTGTTCATGGATCCTGCTTTCAGTTTTCAAATTGACGTCTAATACGGCTGTAAGAGAGTCAAGAAAGTAGAATTGTGTTTAGGAAGGACTAGTTTCTACAGCCCGCCTTTGTAGTTATGGAAACGCTCAATGGAGGTCCATTAACTGTTGAATGATGTGTCAAAGGCATAACCAAAGGTTCCAAATCTTTTACATAGACGACTTGAATCGAAGGTTTAATTTTGCAGCTTAGTTTCATCGACGAACAATACACCCTATAGGCGAAGGCTTTCAACAATAGAGTGAGAATTCTATTAAAGAAAAAGGATGTACCCTGTTGCCCATAATGGAGAGAAGAAAACGGAAAAAAAAGACGAAAAAAGTAAAAGGGACCGATCACACCAACGAAGTTCTGGAATCACCTCTGCGGTTCATGTCTGTCTTCGAATGCCCAAGGAGCAAGCTCGATATTAGAGAGTACCCTGAACAAAAGGTAGATACAAAGTAAAAAGCATATATAAAGAAAAGGTTTAGAGCAAGAGAATTTCAACGGAATAACAAAATTCAGCGAAAGCAAACAAACTAGATGGACTAAGAGAAAGAACTTTAAACGCCAAACCCATATTCCAAAGCAATGGTTGCAAAAAAAAATTATTGACACAAGGAGAAATTGAAGCCTTTTATACTTTTTGAGTTTTTGGTGGATATAAAGTTTCCGCGGATAAAGCAGATTCCCCTTTTGGGAGCAGCGATTTTTTTGCAGGTTGGAACCCTCGATTGCACATTGATAAGATAAACGATATACAACCAGTTAACGATATACAAATGAGTATACAAAGGATCTACAAAAAGACGAACGAAGGACTGGCGTGGTTAGCCAAGCGGAAGAAACTAGCATACAAAGCTATGTTGTGAGGGGGGCGTACGTTAAGGGGCAGGGCACCAGATTCAATCAGATTCAATCAGATTCAAGGGTTCAACGTATTATATAAGGAGCAACAAACAGAAATCTACTTCGATATTCCTTGGCGCAAGGCTTCAACGGTTCCAACGTTTTGATTCAAACTTCGTCTGGTAGAGCAGTTGCAACATCAAACTGATATCATAGTACTGCACATAACCCGCTTATCGTGTGCATTTTCCGAAATCAATCCACTGATTACTCAGCTGATGCCAGAGTCGTCGAAAACGTTGTCTAAAGCTTTCAACTCAATTGAATCAGTAATAGTCATCCGGGTAGTCGTATAACCACCAAAAAAAATCGCGAAATCATCATCAACCCACCATTAAACCACCAATGCAAAAGAAACTTAATTATTGAAAGAGGAAAAAAAATTTGGCTGCAGCAATAACGCAAACGCTCGTGCGAGGCTAATTGAACAGCTTTGATCGTTGACGTTTTGCAAACTGCCGTTCAACTGAAAGATTTAAGTAACGTCGCTTACAGTGTCTTAAACTTAGCAGTTGGTGATTCATTTTTTTCTTTTCGTCCCTGCGAATTCTGGTTTATTCGGAACAAATTATAAATGCAACCGGGTATTCAAAATGTGCCTCGGATTTGTCCCATCCACGGCTCCGATACTTCGATATTGGTCTATTCTTAATGTTCACTTGATGATTCATTCAATCAAGAGTCATTGTAAATCATTGCCGTTTCTTAGACGATTCGTTGTACGTTACTTACATGAATTGGCAAGATTGCTTCGACAAAGTCGGGACTTTGGGTGCATCTGGTGCTGTCACTACGACCCTGTAACTTGATTGGTGAGTACGTTTCTTTGTTATTCACCAATTAGTTGGTTAGCTGTAAAAAAATGATTTACACAGTTAGAAGACGTTTGCAGTCACTCTTGTCGTACCCACCGCATTCGACCTACTCGCTCCCACCTCTTCCTCATCTCCTGTGCTTCCCTGTAGTTTTCCAAGCCCTCACTCCATGCAAGACCACAGATCCTTCGAGGAGGATCTCCAGGTGAACTGGAGATGGTGCTATACTTGACTGTGAAGTTGTCTCACTCACTGAAAAAAAAATAAAGTAACCGCTAACAAAACGAAAAATAAATTAAGAAGAGCCCAAAAAAAAAAAAAAAAAAAAAAAAAAAAAATGAATAAAAAAAAAGGATTCTCCTAAGCTCAGCCGTCTCGAAAACCTACTACTCCTCTTCTCTTACCTAACTTCACGGCTAAACCATTGCTTATAGCGATTCGTTTTCTTCAGGTGATTCAAATTATTTAGACAGAGTAATAGCACTTGTCTACTCCAGTTCAGTCTTAGCGCTCAGGTTTTTTTTTTTTTCTTTTACCCGCCCTCCTTACTGAATTTTCAACAAAAAAAAAAGACATTAGTTATACTATTCAATCTTTTTGCCATTCAGAAAGTATTTGATATTGACGGCTTCTTACATCATTGAATAATAGTAATCTGTTGATAATTAATTGGCGGTTTGCTTGATTCTTTAAACACCACTGGTTTTTTTTTGCTTGTTAATTTTTTCTCCGGGTTATTCGCAAACAAACTAGCCGCCCTAGTGAAATTACGAGAAAGCTTCATTTCAGTAGCTCGAGTTCCTTTCTAATCCATAAGACTAGACTTCTCCAATACAACTCAATCAATATTTGCTCTAGTGCAACTTAACGGCGTAACGTGTTGATGAGTTGGAAAGATATTGATCCATAGAGAAGATCTCAATCAACCAATTTCCAAGTTTCTTATTATTTATTTTGTTACTTTATTGTACATTAACTAGATTTATTTCATTTTGACTGCATCATGCCAAAAAGAGACATTCTGCAAGAATCCCAACCCAGTCTGACGTTACCAAGTAATAGTCCTCTGTTGAGTCTGATTAATCTGAATCAGACTAATCACAGTATAATACCTTCTTCTTCTTCCAATACTCCAAAACCAAAACCAACGGAACAAAAACGTAGAAGAGTAACCAGGGCTTGTGATAACTGTCGCCAGAAAAAAGTGAAATGTGATGGTAAACAACCTTGTATTCATTGTACGGTTTATTCTTATAATTGTACTTATGATCAACCTAATATCCGTAATAAGAAGAATACTGGTATACCGATACCTTCGTATCCTCAAAACAATCCAGCTTTCAATGCAGTGAATGCCAATTCAAATTTGGCCTCCAATACTACCAGTCCCTTAAGTATGAACCAATTAAATAGTTTGGTTGCTTCTCCTCTACTGCAATCACTAACTTCTTCGGATATCAATATCAAGAACAACAATCTAGAATTATGCCAAAAAATTATGAATTTAATTCTCCCCAAGGTTAAATTCAATTTATTAGACGATAAACCTCAACAATTTGATTTTGATAAATTTCAAAAAGTTTTCCATTATATTCAAAATAAAAATCCTTCAAATGTTAGTTTAAATGAAATTTCTGATTTATATCAAGATGGTCCTACTCCAATTACTTCTCCAATAAGCCGACACGAACGCCAATCTTCAGTTTCTTCTAATGATGAAAATGCTCTTGGTCGTGAAATAAAAATTATGCTACCTTCTAAAGAAGTGGCTCTACAGTTAATTTATACGACTTGGTATAAGGCTTGTGTACTTTTCAGATTTTACCATAGACCCTCCTTATTAGAAGAAGTTGAATTGCTTTATAGTTTGGATCCTTTCAATTATACCGATAGACAACAAAAATTCTTACCATTTTTATACTCTATTTTAGCTTGTGGTTCTCTTTTCTCAAAACTGTCAAAAGATTCCAAAAACAATGAAAGTTTAGAAGATGATGGGTTCAGATACTTTCTTGAAGCAAGAAAATTAATTGATATCACCAATGTTGGTGATATCATTTCAATTCAAACAATTGTTATGATGATTATGTATTTACAATGTTCAGCTAGATTGTCGACTTGTTATTCCTATATCGGTATTGCTTTAAGAAGTGCTGTCAAAGAAGGTTTACATCGTAATTTATCTATATTCCAAAATTCAAAACGTAAACTTGATCCTATCGAAGTGGATACTAGAAAAAGATTGTTTTTCACCATTTATAAGATGGATATTTATATTAATTCTTTACTAGGTTTACCAAGATCTATAAGTGAAGACGAATTTGATCAAGAATTTCCTGAAGAACTTGATGATGAAAATATAACTAGAGATAGCTACTTATATGATAATCAACAAGGAAGATTGTCATCGTCAGGTTGTGCAAATCATCATACTAAATTAATGCTCATCATTTCACATATCGTGAAAGAATTATATCCAATTAAAGTGAAAAATCATGGTAATCCTGATCATGTATCCCCTGGCCATATCCATAATAAGGTTACTGATATTGAATTGGAATTAAAACAGTGGTTGGAAAATTTACCTGCTGAATTGAAACCAACTGATCCTAATAATATTGAATCTAGTAAAAATATCCCTGAAAAATTTCTATTGGCAAACTATTATCTTCACTTAGGTTTTTTAAATTGTCAAATCATGTTATATAGACCTTTCATTCATTTTATCAGTAATGGAGTTTATTTCCAAGCATCTGATCCTAGATCTTTAATCAGAGGTCGTAATTGTATAAAAGTTGCCAGAATGGTGGTCAAGTTGGCAAATAAAATGATTGATCAAGATCTCTTGGTGGGTACTTATTGGTTCTCCATGTATACAATATTTTTTTCTATTGCGTGTCTCATTTATTATTTCCATTTTGCCAATTATAATAATAATCAAGGCCATAAAGGTGGAGTAAATTATGCTGGGGTTTTATTCGACGATGACTTAAATATTGATATGATCAAAAAGGATATCGAAATTGGTAAAAAAGTTCTTGATTGTTTGAAGCATAATTCTAATTCTTCTTTAAGAATTTATAATATCTTGAATAATTTATTCGAGCAATTGAATAGAAGAACTGCTAATACCTCAAGAGTTAAAAATAACCCCTTAATGACCCAATCTACTTTTGAAGCAAATGATGCTTCAGTTCAATCAACCTTTCATAACTTTGATAGAATGAATGATTTTAATCAACCTGATGGTCCTCTTTCCCAAAATAATTACGACCAATATTCATCATCACAGCCAGAATTGAATAGGAATCGAAGTAATGGTAACTTAAGAAAATATGATGTGAAAAAAGAAGATGATGACTCTCTAAAAGCGTTTTTGCTAAAGGGCAACTTGCAAGATAATTATACCGAGCTTGCAGACCCTTCAAGAGGCCAAAATAGTAATGAAAAATCGCCTAGTAAGAATAATAATGAAAGTCCTAAGAAATCAGCTGATGATTTTTCTGGACCAATTCCAACACCTTCGAGTGCAGGTGTACCAAATGGTAGCGTACCTATGAATAACAATTACTCTGGCAATGTTGATTATTTACCAGGGGTGATTGATACTTTAGATGCCCAAATATTCGGAAGAATTCTCCCTCCCTATATGTTAGAGAAAAGTGCCAAAAGAGCTGAAGGTGCAGATGCTGCATCCAATGGGTATTCATCAAAGAATGATTCAAAGCCATCTCAAAATAATGATTATCGTTCCAAATTTGATGATAATACTACTAATAACAATAGAAGCGACAGTTTCCAATCACAGCAAAACGTTCCCGGACCGGGTTTAAACTTGGACGATTTTGATTTATCTATGTTGGGTGATAATAACACTTTAGATTATTTAGATCCCTTTAATCCAATTAATAACGAATCCCCTTATGATTTTAGCAAGCAGAATAACTGATGCATGTCCAACTTCAATTCTTCTCCATTTGTGTTTTAGGCCTGCTTTATTTATATAATTATTTTGCTTCTTGAATGTTAATCTTCACATTAAGTAGTAATACGTAATATAGATGAACTATTTGTAAGTGTGTTCTATGTAAAATCAAAAGGGGTTTTCGATGAGTGCTATATGAAGCGTATTGATGTAAAAAGCATTCGCGTTTAATACATTTCGCTTCTTCAAAGGCTGCAAAAAATTAAATGCTGCACTCTCGATACTGCACATTATTGTACACACAGAATCGATTATTAGTATACTTGGAATCATCATAACTTTAGTGCGTTCATCTAAAGAGTTTGGACATTTCTTGTTGGAGGATTTTAGTTGAAAGTGGAAAAGGTTTTCCATGAATCAAGAGAAAACTGCTCCCGGAAAAGGAAAGAGAGCCAGGAATCAACATTAGGTTTATTCAATACACCAAGATACCAATGTCTTGAGTATAGCTGGAGTCGATTCCACCGTATTGATTGATGTCGCTTTGTTTTATGGATTTGTCTTTTTCGTTGGAAATGTTTTTTTCATTTTTATGTAATTATTTAAAGAATTCTGTAAAACCACCAATTTTTTGACAAAATATGTAAAATGACATCTTTGCGAGGGAAATTGATCAATAAAAATAAAAATGTGGAAAAATCCTATATCGTCTTTTGAGTTCTTTCGAAGATGTCTTAGAGCCATTCCTCTTGTCACTTTGGAAGCTTGTTTTAGTTTCCCTTTCAGGTTCCTTGATAAAGCGATCTCTTTGTCGTCTTTATAACCAAGTAAAGCTTTTGCACTAGACGTTACTCAGTGGGAGAGGATTCGAGCTTTATTTGGGGAATTCCATTCTAACTAATTGTTCAACCATGGGGCTATTGAATAACGAGCAAGAAATATATTTGTTGGCTTGTATGTTGCCTCCTCAGTGAAATGTCGAAGCCACTTGCTACTCTCAAGAATGTAACGTAGATGTAATCAGGGGTGTCTACTGGTTTTTTTTTGCACCCTTGATTGTCTTGAACGATATTTATTGTCCTTATCGTGCCCCGAGCACCAGCAGAGCCCATTGACTTCCCCGAAGTAAAGCCACCTTCGGCAAAAACTTAAATAGCTCATTTGTGATAAGCTTATTTGCACTACCCATCCAGTTTTCCAACTTTGAATTTTACCGGCCTAAGATTATATCCGAAAAGAAACAGGGAGCTTATCGCACAGCTTTAGACGGGCTGGGTGTGATGTCAGTTAAAGGTAAAAGAATCTCATTCCAATTTTATATGAAAAAAGCCCTTAGAATTCGGAAATGTCAAACGGGCTTCCTATCAAAAGGTTATTTTTAGACTTTAATCAGGGCCAAATGCTTCACTAGATGGATGCTTACCATATCAACTATTGCTCTAGATTTCAAGAAAGTAAAGCAAAGAATATTCATACTAAACCTAGTTCAACCTGGGAAATGAAACGAGTAAGCAAAAGCAGCTCGTAAGACCGTAATATTAGGGAAATCATCCCTCAGTTAATTGGCAAACAAATTTAAATTCTTGAAGTTCTAATGAAAGAATAAGAGACCTACAGATAACCAAGCTGGAACATTTGGGTTTAGATTTTCAATTCCAATCATAACTTATTCACATTTAGCCTTCTTCGAAAACCCGTAACTTTTATTTTATTTTTAACCCACAAAAAATATTTCTCGGTCAAAATAAATTAAAACTTGCGTAAATTTGACAGGCAATTATTTTTTAACAGCGACTACACAGAAAAAGTACGCAAAAAGAGTGCTGCTTTTCCTGTTTCATGCGAAGGGCACGGCTCCACATTTTTGAAAAATGATTGGTTCAGATAAACTTTTCTGTAAGACTTCTTAACTTCTTATCGATTGACAGAATTCTACATCACTCAATTCAGAAGAGTGGGTGGAGGTTTTTAATTTGAAAAACAGTAATGTGGAGGAAGAAAACAATACGGTAAAAAGGAACAATAAACGACCGACTAAAGATCGAAATCTTTTATCGGAAAAATGACACTTAAGGTGTGATAGCTTTGACATTTAGTAGTATTTGATCAGGACTTGCGTTTTCCAAAGATAACAAAGTAGGGCGTAGTATGAAGTTTACTAGACCTAACACCTTTATTATCGTAATCAAGCCCCTTGTGAACTTTATCTTGACAAGATTTGATATCATAGATATATGGGCTTTGACAATTAGTGTATCTCTCACGAACATGTTCATATATCATTGAAATTCGTAGTACATTGACGAAGCCAATGCTTTTAACCTGTTACATTTTAATTGTTCAGAAAAATCATGATTGCACTGCAAAATTTAAGTCTTTTCTAATAATTCAACTTGCATGAACACAATAACTGTCAAAGTGTAAAGTATTTTTGGAAAATAAAATTCATGTTAATAAAGTTTACCATTCCTGAACTCAGATGTCAAGAGTGTAAAGTCTTTCGCCAAAAAAGCATAAGAAGATTTCGGTCAAAGATAAGATTTCATTTTAAGATAAGAACTAGGAGGACTGTTTGGCGTCGACGTAATATGACCTTAGTTGGACTTTCTGCTGTATTTATCCCAATCACTGAAATTTGATACAAATATATATATAGAGTTGCAATTTGCTTAGGAATTTGTCAATAGAATTCACGTTCAGTATATCAATGATTCCTGTTAAAAGTCCTTTGACCCAAGGATTATCTGGAGTCAGAAGCGCTTCAAGTCACTTGAGTGCGACTGATCATGAAGTCAACTTAGAAGTTATCCAGTCGATGCCTATTTTATCAAAGAAGTTGCTGAGGGATTCACTTCCGAACAGAATTAAGGAGATTAAATTACGATGGGTTGGTTAGTTTGGATGAATTACCAGCAGGAGTTACTTTCATGTTGGAAAAGATTTATGCTTTAAGCGAAACTGAAGCAGTTGAGATCTTGAAAGAGTATCTTGCAGAACATGATGAAGATGTTAATATACCCGAAGCTGACTTTGAATTTGCTCAAAAATTAGTTGACCAAGCCCCAAATAATTTAGATAATGCTGAATCTGGTAATGTTAAAACTAACTTGAAATTTCATTTTGACACCAATAAACCTTTGAACGAAAAAGAACCAGAACTCACAAATGTGGTTGATCTATCATCAACAGAATCTATCACTCACTCACATTTTGAGCTCTTTGACTGGAGTATGCAAGTTAGGTTAGAAGCTGGTCTTATTGCGTATCACTCACCATATCCAGAAGTTCGTGCTGTTACTGAACCTTACGATGACCCTTCAGTTCCTTGTGAAACTCCTCGTGCAATCATCGTGGGTCTTATCTGGGTTTCCATCGGTATGGTAATCAATCAGTTCTTCTATGACTGACAACCAAGCATCACCTTTACCGCTGCTGTTATTCATCTATCCTAGTGGGAAGTTTTTAGCCTTAATTCTTCCTAAATGGAGCTTTACCATTTGGAAACATACAATCGATTTGAATCCGGGTCCTTGGAACGAAAAAGAACAAATGCTTGCAACTATTATTTTTTCAGTCGCTGGTGGTACTGCTTAATACGTAACTTTCAACATAACCGTACAAAAAATGGCTATTTTCTACGCTAATAAGTGGGTTACCTTTGGATACCAAGTTCTTTTGATTCTATCAACTAATTTTATGGGGTTTGGATTTGCTGGTTTGATTAGAAAGTTTGTTATTTACCCACCAAGGTCAACCTGGCCATCCATCTTACCTACCTTAGCTGTCAACAGAGCGTTAATGAGACCAAAAAACATCAAAACATTAATGGGTGGACCATTTCTAGATATCTTTGGCTCTTTTCAATTACCCTTGTATCGTTTCTTTATTATTGGGTTCCAGATTATCTTTTCCAAGCGTTATCCAGTTTCAATTGGATGACTTGGATCAAACCTGACAATTTCAATCTTGCTTCAATTACTGGATCCGAATCTGGATTGGGACTTAATCCGATTCCATCCTTTGATTGGAATGTTATCAATTATGATAAATATTTAGCAATTCCTTTTTATTCTTACTTAAGTCAATATATCGGGATGGTTATTGGATTCTTTGCAATAGTCGGAGTATACCGGTCAGAATATTATTGGACTTCTTATTTACCAATCAATTCAAACAGTATATTTACCAATACTGGTGAGTCTTATTCTGTCACTGAAGTTCTTAATTCCAACAATTTGCTTGATAAGAAAAAGTATGATAAGGTGGGACCCCCTTTTTATTCTGCTGCTAACTTGGTGGTCTATGGTGCATTCTCTGCAATTTACCCCTTTGCCGTACTTTATGAAACCTTAGCAAATTACAAAGCATACAAGAAGGCTTTTAAAGGAATCGCCAAAACCATTAAAAATAATGATCCTCATAGTAGAATGATGGGTCACTATAAAGAAGTCCCAGACTGGTGTTTCCTTTGTGTGTTGGTAATTTCTGTTGTTTCTGCAATTTTATGTACTAAGTTATATCCTACGGAAACTCCAGTCTGGGGTGTGTTCTCTGCTCTTGGAATCAATCTTGTCTTTTTGATTCCATTGACCACCATATATTCTGTTACTGGTTTCCAATTTGGTCTTAATGTTTTGGTTGAATTAATTGTTGGTTATGCTCTTCCAGGTAATGGCTTAGCCTTGATGTTTATCAAAGCATTAGGTTATAATATTGACGGTCAAGCCCAAACCTATATTTCGGATCAAAAGATGGGACATTACGCTAAGATTCCACCTAGAGCAATGTTCAGATGGCAAATGGTTTCGGTTTTCATTGCTTCGTTCATTTCTTTAGCGATTATTAATTTCATTACTGAACATATAGAAGGATACTGTGAGCCAGATAATAAGCTCAAGTTTACCTGTCCACAGAGCAGAATTTTCTATTCTGCTTCTATTATTTGGGGGGACATAGGACCTAAACGGGTCTTCAACCAACTTTACCCGATCATCAAGTACTGCTACTTACTTGGTTTCTTGTTAGTATTCCCATGTATTGCCTTCAAAAAGTATGGGCCAAATAAACTTACAAAATATTTCCAACCAACCTTGATGATCGGTGGTTTTCTCAATTATGCTCCTTTCAATTTGTCTGATTACACTGGGGGGTTATACATGTCTATTGCTTTCATGTAGTACTTGAGAAGCCGTTATACCACCTGGTGGGAAAAGTATAACTACGTAATGTCGGGGGCTTTAGATGCCGGGGTTGCCTTCAGTAGTATTATCATCTTTTTTGCAGTTCAATACCATGATAAGTCTATCACCTGGTGGGGGAACACCGTCAGTACGGCCGGGCTAGATGGAGCTGGCCCTTCTCTTAACTCTATCGGCTCCTGACGGCTCTTTTGGACCGAGAAAGAGTGAATACGTTGAATAACTTACGAATAATATTTTCTTTAACGAGACAAATTTCCTATACTTTATGTAGATATCGAGGTTCTGACTGAATTAACCTGAAATAATAATAAACGTCCTCTTGTCGTGAGCATGGTTTGAGCATCCTGACATTCATTGGATGGAATCGTACGACTGAAGGAAAAACGGCCCTGCAAATCAAAGACAATCTCCGGCCTGACTGTAATTAAACTTATCACCAAGTTGGAGAAGCCATGACAGAAATTATGCTTTTATTGGGAAAAAGCAAAAAAATAACTCTGAAATTGGTTTTGCGTTTACATTTGACAGATCGCTTAAAGTTGCAACTTCTCATTTCCTTTCATTTTATTTTCTTCAGCGTGCTGCACCTTCCACGCCTGAACTGAATTTTACGATCGGTGACACTGTTCTTGTCATATCAACTCAGCAAGTTAATAGTATCTTTGACAGTGGAATAACGATATTTTTGAATAATAATATCTTAAGTACCTCTCTGATATATGATATTAGCACATTAGTAATATGAATAATAAGATGACCCCCGAAGCCACCACTGACAAAGACCAAAAGTAAATAGAAATTGCAAAATCAAAAGAAATAACAAAAGATTATTCATTTCTGACACAAGATATTAATAGCTGGGTTAAGCCCTTGTAGAATATTGATGATAGGTGCCACTTCCTTGCATGGGTGTAACAGCCCTTTGGCTGATAATTTTCATATCTTGATAATTAAGCACAATAGCCTATGGAACGAACGGGAGCCAATGATATCGAGAATAATCAGCAAGCACCCCATCTTTTGCGCTCTTGTGAAGGTTGTAACCGGTAGCCACCGAGAGTGTGGAAAAAAATAAAAGTCGGTCAATTATTTTAACTGCATGAATACAATAGCTGTCTATTTTTATGATGGTTTTTTTGCACCTCCGATATGTGATTTTGTTGATGCCAAAGCCATAGGCTCTGGATTTGAAAGGCTCACTCTTCAAGGTGGAAAAGGTACTCGACCTGATCTCCAGACCATATAGCTGAGTGCTTGTTCTGAATCGGCGTGGCAGAAAACGGGACGAAGTAACAATGGGAATGTCAAAGTTCGATTGTAGAATCACGAAGTCAAAAAAAAACGCTCACCTGTGAAGATAAGGCATCGTAAGGCACTCATTACAGGTGTGGTTTGAGATTGATAACGCGTGATAACTAGGTTTAGGCGCCAATTTTCCAAAATTTACGATGATATTAGTTGAATTTATTGTTATCAGTGGATCCAATAATAGAAGCACCACAACTTGATTGGGACTCACGATGGTATATAAACTCGTATATTCTTCTGATTTGAAATAGCATTTATCCGTTTGTTCTCTATAGTGAATTTTGCTGCTTTATAAATATGTTACCTGAAAAGAGTTTACAAACTCCCGGGTTATCTACTGTCAGAAGTGCTTCAAGTCACTTGAGTGTTGATGATCATGAAGTTGATTTGGAAGCCATTCAATCGCAAGCTATTTCTATTGGTGAAGTCGCTGGCGAGTTCACCTCGGAACAGAAATATTTCATTTTGAGAAGGTTGAATTATGAAGGTTTGGTGAACTTGAATGAATTACCGGTTGGTGCTACCTTCATGTTGGAAAAAATTTCTGCTTTAAACGAAGCTGAAGCAGTTGAAATCTTGAAAGAATACATCGAGGCTCACTATGAAGATGTTAATATTCCTGATGCTGATTATCAGTTTGCTCAAAAGTTAATTGATGAAGCTCCAAATAATTTGAATAGTGGTGCTGGTGATATCAAGACCCATTTGAAATCCCATTTTGACGCTGGATCAGATGAAAAGCAATTATCTGATACGAATGTTGCCGATAGCACCTCTATTGAGTCTATCACTCATTCACCTTTTGAGCTCTTTGATTGGAGCTTCCAAGTTAGGGTAGAAGCTGGTCTTATTGCTTATCACTCACCATATCCAGAAATTCGTGCTGTTACTGAGCCTTATGATGATCCATCGGTTCCTTGTGAAACTCCTCGTGCAATTATTGTTGGGATTATTTGGTTGGCTATTGGTGTGGTAATTAACCAGTTCTTCTATGACAGACAACCAAACATCACTTTCACATCTGCTGTTGCTCAATTATTTATCTATCCCAGTGGAAAGCTTTTAGCCTTAATTCTTCCCAAATGGAGCTTTACCATTTGGAAACATACAATCGATTTGAATCCGGGTCCTTGGAATGAAAAAGAACAAATGCTTGCAACCCTTATTTTTTCTATCGCTGGTGGTACAACTTCATACGTTACTTCTAATATTACCGTACAAAAAATGGCTAGATTTTACGATAACAAGTGGGTAGACTTTGGATACCAGGTTCTTTTGATTCTATCAACTAATTTTATGGGGTTTGGATTTGCTGGTTTGATTAGAAAGTTTGTGATTTACCCAACAAGATCAATCTGGCCATCAATCTTACCTACCTTAGCTGTCAACAAAGCTTTAATGAAACCAGAAAAGCACGAGAACATTAACGGGTGGACCATTTCTAGATACACTTGGTTCTTTTCAATTACTCTTGCATCGTTTCTTTATTATTGGATTCCAGATTATCTTTTCCAAGCTTTATCCAGTTTCAATTGGATGACTTGGATCAAACCTGACAATTTCAATCTTGCTTCAATTACTGGATCCGAATCTGGATTGGGATTTAATCCGATCCCATCTTTTGATTGGAATGTCATCAATTATAATGCTTGTTTAACAGTCCCTTTCTTTTCCTATGTGAATCAATATATCGGAAGTATTATTGCATTCTTTGCAATAGTCGGAGTATACTGGTCAAATTATTATTGGGCTTCTTATTTACCAATCAATTCAAACAGTATCTTCACTAATACAGGTGAATATTATGCTGTTACTGAAGTGCTTAATTCCAATAACTTGCTTGATAAGCAGAAATATGACAAAGTTGGGCCACCATTTTACTCTGCTGCAAATTTAGTACTCTATGGTGCGTTTTTTGCAATTTATCCTTTTGCGTTTTTTTACGAAGTCATAATGAATTACAAAGCATACAAGAAGGCTTTCATAGGAATCTATAAAACCATTAGGAATTTCAAAACTTCTACGTACGAGGGATTTAATGATCCTCATAGTAGAATGATGGCTCGTTATAAAGAAGTCCCAGAATGGTGTTTCCTCTGTGTCTTAGTGATTTCCATTGTTCTTGCAATCTTATGTGTTGAATTATACCCTACAGAAACACCAGTTTGGGGTATCTTCTTTGCCGTTGGAATCAATTTTGTCTTTTTGATTCCAATAACTACTATATATTCTGTTACTGGTTTCTTATTTGGTCTTAATGTTTTGGTTGAATTAATTGTTGGTTATGCTCTTCCAGGTAATGGATTAGCCTTGATGTTTATCAAAGCATTAGGTTATAATATTGACGGTCAAGCAGACAATTTTATCTCAAATCAAAAAATGGGACATTATGCTAAAGTGCCACCTAGAGCAATGTTCAGATGGCAAATAGTTGGTACTTTTATTGCTTCATTTATCGGTTTAGGTATAATTAACTTCACCATAGATGATATTAAAGACTATTGTGAACCAGGTAACAAGCTTAAGTTTACCTGTCCTCAAAGTACAATCTTTTATTCATCTTCTATATTATGGGGTGTCATCGGCCCTAAACGTGTCTTCAACCAGCTTTATCCTATTCTTAGATGGTGCTTTTTGATTGGATTCTTGTTAGTATTCCCTTGTGTTGCATTCAAGAAGTACGGTCCAAAGAAAGCTGCCAAATATTTCCAACCAACTTTGATAATTGGAGGTTTTTTGATTTATGCTCCATACAATTTGTCTTATTATACTGGGGGATTATACATGTCTATTGCTTTCATGTGGTACTTGAGAAGCCGCTATACTACTTGGTGGGAAAAGTATAATTATGTTTTGTCAGGGGGATTGGATGCTGGGGTTGCCTTCAGTGCTATTATCATCTTTTTTGCAGTTCAATACCATGATAAGTCTATCACCTGGTGGGGGAACACCGTCAGTACGGCCGGGCTAGATGGAGCTGGCCTTTCTCTTAAGAATGCAACTTTGTCGGCACCCGATGGCTATTTTGGCCCAAGAATGAGTAAGCTTGCAGAATAAAGCTGTTTTTCAATATTAAAATTAAAATGTATTAGTAATTTTGAGTGAATAATTTTATAATCTTAATAAAAAAATAATAATAATGATTTGTAGGTAATTTTCGTTTCCCCAACTGAATTGGTTTTCCGAATATGTTGCAAAAGGTTGCAAAATTTGAAAAAAAAAAAAAAAAAAGGAACCGTTGGAAATGGTTGAAATTTCCGAGATCATATACTAGATAAACTAGGTTTTTCTACTACAGGAATGAATGAAGTCATTCTGAAACTTAATATTTAAATTAAATAGACACTCAAAGAAGCTCTTATAAAATAAGAAGAATTGAAAACAGAATTAATATAATATTTAACAATAGGAAAAGTAAAAAAAGATACAATTTTGCATAAAGACAAACTAAGGGTAATGTCCCTTTCTTGGGCCAAAATAACCATCTGGAGCAGAAAGAGTAGCATTTAATCTATTACCGCCAACACCATCATAACCCAGGTATGAAACAAGGTTTCCCCACCAGTTAATTGATTTATCATGGTATTGAACTGCAAAGAAGATGATAATAGCACTAAAAGCAACCCCAGCATCCATAGCAGCAGTAAAAACATAATTGTATTTTTCCCACCAGGTGGTATAACGCTTTCTCAAGTACCACATGGAAGCGATGGAAAAATATAATCCAACAGTATAATAACTCAAGTTATAAGGAGCATAATTAAGTAAACCACCGATAATCAAAGTAGGTTGGAAATACTTAGCAACTTTCTTTGGTCCGTATTTCTTGAAAGCAATACATGGGAAGGCCAATAAAAGTCCAATTAAGAAACAGTATTGAAGAATTGGATAAATACCACCAAAGACAATTTTAGGTCCAATCACACCCCATAAGATAGAAGCAGAATAGAAGACGTTACTATTTGGACAGGTAAATTTAAGTCTATTATCAGGATCACAGTAATCTTTAATGTGATTAATATCAAAATTAATGACAGCTAATCCGATAAATGAAGTGAGGAAAACTGATAACATTTGGGTTCTGAACATGGCTCTTGGAGGAATTTTTAAATAATGACCCATTTTTTGATCAGAGATATAATTTTGAGCTTGACCATTAATATTGTAACCCAAGGCTTTAATGAAGTTCAAAGCTAAACCATTACCTGGAAGAGCATAACCAACAATTAATTCAACCAAAACATTAAGACCAAATTGGAAACCAGTGACAGAATAAACAGCAGTTAAAGGAATCAAAAAGACAAAATTGATTGCAAGGGCAAAGAAGATACCCCAGACCGGAGTTTCAGCAGGATAAACTTTAACACACAAAATCCCAAGAACAACAGAGATAACCAAGACACAGAGGAAACACCAATCTGGGACTTCTTTATAACGAGTCATCATTCTACTATGAGGATCAGTGAAACCGTGATAGGTGGATCTTCTAAAATTTCTAAAAGATTTACCGAGACCAAAAAGAGCATCTTTCATAGGTTTATAATTCATGAAAACTTCATAGACAATGGTGAATGGATAAATTGCAAAGAATGAACCGTAAACAACCAAATTAGCAGCTGAGTAGAAAGGAGGACCAACTTTTTCGTATTTATTTCTGTCGAACAAACTATTTGAGTTAACAATAGCTTTAACATCGTATAATTCACCAGTGTTAGTGAATAAAGAACTAGAATTGATTGGCATATATCCCGTCCATAAATGGTTGGAGTAGTAAAGACCAGTGATGATAAATAAACCAAGGAAAGTACCGATGTATTGATTTGCATAAGAGTAGAAAGGGAAAGTTAAACAATGATTATAGTTAATAACATTCCAATCAAAAGTTGGGATTGGATTCAAACCTAAACCTTTAACGGAACCAGTAACCATTGCCAAATTGAAATTATCAGGTTTAATCCAAGTGATCCAATTAAAAGTAGATAAGGCTTGGAAAAGGTAATCTGGGATCCAGAAATAAACGAAGGAAACGACGGTAACCAAGAAGAACCAATAATATCTTGAAATAGTCCAGCCATTAATATTTTCTTTTCTTTCCGGTTGGGTTAAAGCTTTATTTAAAGCCAAAGTTGGTAAGATCGTTGGCCAAATAGATTTAATTGGATAGATTGCAAATTTTCTCATAATACCAGCAAAACCAAAACCCAAAAAGTTAGTTGCCAAAATTAATAAAGTTTGGTAACCAAAGTCAGCCCATTGATTATCATAATATCTTGCAAGTTTTTGAACATGAATATTATAAGAGACATAGGAGGTACCACCACCGGAAACCGAAAAGAAAATAGTAGCCAACATTTGTTCTTTATGAGTCCATGGTCCAGGATTTAATCTAAAATTATACTTCCAAACTTTAAGGTTCCAATCAGGTAAGATATAAGATAAAGCTGTACCAAAGGGATAAATAAATAATTGAGCAACAGAACTACTGAAAGTAACACTTGGTTGTCTTTCAGCGAAGAATTGATTAATAAAGGCACCAATAGCAGTCATCACCAAACCAACAATGTAAACTCTGATGGTTTCACAGGAGAGTTCTGGGTCATCAAAACAATCAGTGACCGCACGAACTTCAGCATAAGGAGAGTGGTAAGCAATCAAAGCGGCTTCAAGTTTAGTTTGTAAAAACCAATCGACAATTTCAGTTGATTCGATATCAGTGCTTGAAGTAATTGAAGTTTGTTTTTCGAAATTATCAGCCAACTTTTCTTTGATATTTTCCGAAGAAGAATTGGAATTGTACAAGTTAGATGGGGCATTTGCAACTAATTTTTCAATTAGTTCATAATCTTGAGTTGGAAGATTAACGTCACCTTCATGTTCGACCAAGAACTCTTTCAAAATAGTCACGGCTTCATTTATATCCAAAGCTTGAACTTTCTCCAACATAAAGGCAGCACCAGTTGGTAAGTTATCGAAACTAACCAAACCTTCATAATTCAATCTTTTCAAAATGAAAAATTTTTGGTCAGAAGTAAGTTCCTCAGCAACTTGCCCAATGGATAACGGCTGGGAGGTAATTGCGTTTAAATCGAGTTGGTGATCTTCCACATCCAAATGACTTCTAACACTAGTTACACTAGTGATTGCATTTTCTTTATCAAGATTTGCAATTTCTTTATTAACATTTGCCTTTTCAGCCATGATGGTAATAAATTGAGATCTTTTCGACAGTAATAAGCTAAGATCCTTGGTCTGTAAGAACTAACCGGTACAAAAGAAGCTTTTTCCCTCCCATCTTATATACCACTGGCCCGGGATCCAATCTCCTCTCGTTATCATCGAATCCCTGATAAAGTGAAAGATACGAGTGGAACAATAGGTTATCTTTGATATCATACTATCGCTAATTTTGCAATCACCTGCCCCAAGCTTTTTGCAACACCACAACACCACAACACCACAACTCATAAAATACAGCAGCCTATAAAACAAACGGCTTCAAATGCCTTGATAGAGTGATCACTGAGTTAATCCTTCTTCTTTACTTGGCGACTATTGTTGCAACATGAAAACATAGTCAATACAAGGAAAAAATATATCAATTGCTGCGTAAATTTTTCGATAAGTGCAGGGGCTCTTTCAATCACGGTCACCTTGGCTAAAGCAGCCGTATAATGGATGCTTAGCAGTGAAGATTACCTACCCGTAAAGATTACCTACCCGTAAAGATTACCAAGGATAAACCAGGAAGAATGCTCAAGAGATAGTTACTTAGCTGCTAAATAATGGCGTTACAGCACAGGCGTAAAGCGCAAAATATTTTAATGTTTTCGCCAAAAGTTGAATTTATTGATCTTTTTGTTTCGGATGAGAACTATAAAAGAGTGCAATACTTTGATCACCTTGATAAAGATGATTAATTTATTATCAAGCTGCAAGCGTATATGGAATCAGGTTAATTACCGAGAAAATTACTATTTTACTGATAATTGTAAGATTGTGGATTTAACTTCTATAGTACGGCACCAACTTTTTTGCACCGTCAGTATATCGGTATCTTTGTTTTAAAATTATACACAAACGCTAATAATTGATTTGAAATGAAATGTACGAGGAGTTACAATAACAGCAATCACGCCTTGTAGTCGTATTTTCTATCTACCAACCACCCCAGCCATCTTCAACGTCGTCATCGATTGTAAGGTCTAATTTTAAGGTTGATCCTGGAGGCTTCCTTGTAGTATCCTTCTTAGTTCCTAATTTCAAACTGCTAGTTTTACGGGAATTGTTATTTGTTTTAGTCGGAACTCTAGTTGTTGATCTAATTGTTGATAATTTTTCCGATGGCTTATCTTGCAAAGATAAATTATTGAGTTCATCGCCCCAGCCATCATCCAAATCATCATCGTTGATAATATCGTTGGCAAAAGATGTGGCGGGCTCCCGTTTATTGGATATGGTTGGGGTGGTGACTCTGGTTAAGTCCGGAGTCGAAGAATTGAAGTCGTTGTTTAACTCTCCTTCTACCTCCGAAGAAGCTACTAGTTTGTTAACCATACCCCATCCAAAATTGAATTTGGAAGCTTGAGTAACGTCTTGTGAAGCCTGTGATACTTGCTGTGCCAAACCATTATTATTTGGAGCGTATTTTTTGAAAAATTCTTTTTCTTCTGCGTCCTCGTCGTCTTCATTCTCTGACCGGGGTAAAGTACTAGCATGTTTTTCAACCATATCCAAATATAATTCAAAGATTCGTTTAGCTTCTTTTCTAACTTTGTAAGATTGGTTATCCATTAACAGAATTGCTAATTGACCCAATATTTTAGAACATATTTCTTCCAAACTAAACTCATTAATCAATTTTTCAAATCCTGATAATGATGTCATTTTACAAGGAATGAAACTATCCCTCAATGATTTCGATAATGCGGTAATTAAGACATTATTTTTTGAATTTTGGTATATTTTATCGGATATCTTAATTATAAGAACCAAAGTATTAGTTCTAATTGACGGTTTGGGATCCATTTGGGATTTAGCAAGCACTTTCAATAAATCCTGATTAACTTGCTTAACCGATACTTTATCAATTATAATCATTATCGAGGTCAATGTGGTTTCTCTAATCATGAAATTGGTATCCTGAAATCCAGTTATCAAATTATAAAAAACTTTAGATTGAATATCTCCTTCAGTCAAATTTTCAATATACGATGATAAATGAGTTAACAATATAAGACGTATCGATCTATCAGCAGATTGGAATGCATTGAGTATGATTGGCTTGACTTTAAGACAAAATTCGTCTTTATTCAACTTAACTCCAAATTTTAGTATATAGTTTAATAAAACACTAGTGGTTTCTTGTCTTTGCTGTAAGTCTTCAACCAGTTGTTGAGCATTGTTGGGCTTGAGAAGATTGTTATACTGGTTAATCAATTCGGGTAATAACTTAAAGTCTAAAAACCCAGGGGGAAATTTTATATCAATATCTTCTCCAACGTAATTCGAAAGTTCAAATTTGAAAAAATTCAATTTTTCAAAATCATTTTTGAATTGAATTTCTTCTAATTGTTTGTTAAACTGAATAACTTTATTCGATTCAAAAAATTTCCCGGTTTCTTTCAAGAAAGCTTGTATTGATATCCGTAAATTCAATTTTGGATTTATCAATTTTTTGTACTGAACGCTTAATTGTTTTGGCATCTTACCAATATTATTGAAATCTATCCCTTGATTGAATATTTGATGAATGAAAATACCGTATTTGTAAGAATCAAATCTAATTGGGAATCCTCTAATTGCTTCAATGCCCTGATTTAAAACATCACCTGGTAATTCATCTTGGAAACTTGGTGAATATCCACTCAATCTATAGATTGGTTGATCCGGATCGCTCGTTAAATTCGTTAATAATTCAAATCCAAACAACTTCCATTCCCCCAGTTTATTAACAAACACTGAATCATTATAAACAGATAAGGATCCATGAACGCATTGACATTTCATATTAATAAAATCTAAGGTCTCTCCAATATTGTAAATCCCATAAATTTTTGCATCATCTCCTACTTCGTTCCCATATTGCTTCAAATAGCTTTGTAATGGAATAACTGGTTCGGTAATTATATATAAATAATTATCATTTTCAATAAAATCAATTATACTAATAATACCTGGAAATTTAACCAATTTCAGTTTCTTAAAACAATTCCTGGCCAATGACACGTAGTTTCTATTGATATTCACGTCATTCCTTAAATTCATTTCGAAAATACTAACAGGTGAATTATCTCCCTTCGGGTTTAACCCATTGTAAACCGTCCATATCGACTTAGGCGAGGTAGGAATCTCCTCTTTCACCGTGTAAGGAATCGAAGTACCAGTCAAGGTACTTAAAGTTTTAGATAGAAAGTTCATTTCGCCATAGAATAATTAATGATTCTGTCTGGTTTTAGTATAAACTATGTCTGAAAAACTCAGTTTTTATTCTATATTTGACAACGCGGCTCTTCAAAACTTTTTTTTTTTAAAGCGATATAATTTGCAATCCATAAAAAGCGTTATGATTAAAGAAATTTTTTTAGAAAACTTTATATATGTATAATTACTATATAAGAAGAAGTATAGAGGAGACGAAATATTAAAAAAAGGCAACGGAATCTTTTCTTTTTTTTTTTTTTTTTTTTTAATTTAACCGTAAAAGTATATAATACATAAAAGTTACAATTAATAATTAGAAGCAGAAGGGTTCATAAAACTCATTTGTTGTTGTTGTGGGGGTTGTTGGGAAGGTTGAGCACGACCACCTGGAGGAGGACTCATTGAAAGCTCAGCCATATCGGGTTTACCATCATGACCAGCATTGGATTGACGTTTACCTCTACCTCGTATACCTTTATTTGAGTTCTTGTATAATTCCTTGAAATGATCAAGTAGCTCACGTTCTTTTAAAGGTAAGTTCGCAATATTTTCACCACTCATCTCAGCCAAAGTATGGGTTAGTCTATTCAAAGTAGGAAGATGAAATCTATTCTGATGAGCTTTTAAATTACCCAATTGAGTGAAGGATTTATCACAGTCATCTAGTTTACACTCAAAAGGTTTTTCATTATTATGAGTTAATTGATGAGCTGCCAAATTACCTTTACGACTGAAAGATCTTTTACAAATATCACAAGTAAATGGTTTTTCACCAGTGTGAAGCCTTAAATGAGTCCTTAAATTCCCACCTTGAGTGAAACGTTTATGACAATAAGAACATTCGAAAGGTTTGTGACCAATATGAGACCTAACATGAACTTCTAAATGGGTTGATTGATTGAAAAACTTAAAACAATAAGGACATTGTTGCGTTTTATGTCTTCTACCCTTTTTCTTATCATCAGAACCTGGGGAACCTTTTTCTGGTTTATCAACACCCCCAACCAAATTAACTGATTGAGGTAACACACTGTTTTTATTATCGGGAGATCCCAATATACTACCATCAACTCCTTGTTGAATTGTATTGGTATTACCCTTTTCTCTTGCTTGAATAACCAACATCAATTGATCAACTTTAGTAGCTCCTAATAAAGGTCTACCATCTTCTGATTTAGCATATTGTTGAGCTGGTACCAAATTTTTTTCAAAAGCAGTTGACAGTGGACCCGAAATAATTGGAGTTGAATCACTAGAATTATTTTTCGATCCTTTTTTAGCATTACGACTTCTTTTAGCTGGAGGTGCTCCTGTAGTAGCCCGAGCTTGACGAGCGTTAGGCTTATAATTGGGAGATTGTTGTTGAGAAACTGGATCAGCTTTTAATTGTTGAGTGGAGATGCTAGGAGATTGTTGAGAATCTTGAGGGGCAATGGCTTGGTTGTGAGATTGAATTGGTTGGTATGAATAGTTTTGACGATCTTGAGGTTGATAATAATTTTGTTGTCCCGGTTTCAAAAGATTAGGTTGAATTTGAGCTTGAGCAGGATTAATTTGAGCTTGAGCAGGATTAATTTGAGCTTGAGCAGGATTAATCTGCTGGGGATGTTGAGGAGGATGTTGAGGATGTTGGGGTAGTTGTTGAGGATGTTGCTGTTGCTGTTGTGGGAAAGGAGAAGAGTATTGAGGAGGCACTTGTTGGGAGAATTGTGGTTGATTAGGGTAATTATAATTATAAGGATTTCCAGGATAATTTTGATAAGGCTGCTGCGGTAATTGTTGTTGAGGTTGAGGTTGTTGCTGCTGAGGTTGCTGCTGAGGCTTTTGGGCGAAAAAGCTTTGACCTGAAGCTTGAGGATTTGATTGTAGAGGAGGGGCTCGTGTTTGTAAGACTCTAGCATTAAAGATGCTCGGAGAAGTTTTTGGAGATTGGGGTTCATCGAACTTAGCTGAAGATTTTGAAGATAATGAAGAAGCTGGAGAAATATGAGAGTTTTTATCATTATTTGGAACTTGTAAATTTGGTTTATTAGGATCGTTTGGATTACGATACTGTTGATTATTTATACCAGGGACAGTTGATTGATTAGTTTTTGATTTATCAAAGATATCTTCCCTTAATCTAGTTTTAGCAGGCTGGGTATTAGTTGGAGTTCTTTGTTGAAATTGTTGTTGATCATTAATTAATTTTAAGATGGAGTCTCTTCTTTGTTCATTACTCATACCGCTAAAGTCAATACTTCCATTTGACAAACTAGCTAATATCCCATTAAGACTATCGTTAGTGATAGGAAGACCAGACACGGAACCAGATAATCCCATATTAAGGCCTTCCCAAAATGAGTTGGATTGATCAATCAGATTTCTCTGTTTTGGTTGCTGCTGCTGCTGCTGCTGCTGTTGTTGAGGGAACAGCATCAGCTGTTGACGTTGTTGGTTCCAATTTAAAATATTACTCAAGCTTTCTTTACCGAAATAAGATTCTAAGTCCAGGGATGACAAAGGGTAATCGTTGGGAGGGTTAGTTCCAGGGTAGAAAGAGACTTGTCTTGATTTTTGACCGGGTTGGTTAATTCCGCCAGCAGAATTCGATGGTTGTGGTTGTTGTTGGTGTTGTTGCTGCTGCTGCTGCTGCTGCAGTTGCTGTTTAGAAGAAGGCCCGCTTACTGAATTACCATTTGAACCCGGAATTTGAATCAATGAGCTGAATATACTATTTGACCTTGAAACACCAGCGGATAAAGAGTGGTTATTACCCTGGGAGTTACCCTGAGCCACCGAATTAGCATCATAATCGTTGCCAAACTTCAAATTAGCCAGATTGATTGGAGGAGGTAAGAAAATCGAGTCACCTCTCGGTCTTGCTAATTGGTCATTGGTATTCACCCCAACATTACCAAACGGTAAATTGGAAGAGTCCCGATGTCCCATATAGAAATTGGGATACCCGCCTGGTATATTAACACCACCAGCCCCAGGATCTTGAACATTACTCTTTAAACCAGGATTCTTATTCGGTTTGGCATTATTATTAATATAAGGGGTTGCACCCCCCGGTCTGGCATCGCCGGGAGAATTGAACCTGGACTTGGACTCGTTGACTTTGGAGTTGTACGATGATGAAGACATGATTCCGGCCAACCAAGCTTGCAATCTTATCGGAGGTGTTGATGTTTTAAAAAGAGACAAATGCAAATTCCCATAGTTTCTTTTTTTGCTGTTGTTTTTCTTTTTTTTTATTTTTTTTTTTTTTTTTGTTTTTTCCTGACAGTTTTTCCCTGTCATTTTGCTTTTTGTTCTGCAATTGCTTTCTGAACTGGCCAATCAGGTGACCATACCGGTACTTACAGCAGACTAAGTGGTAGAGTAGGTACAAGAAGTGAGTAATGTAAGGATTAGAATCACGTATATTTATTTAGAAGATCGTTTAAACACAGTTGTAAGTCTTTGAGATCAAGTTCCATTTGTCGAAGATACATTGAAGGGTTTGTATTGTTATTATAGACACGATGATGTAATTGATCAATAAAGTTATTGGTAATTTGAATATACTTACCTAGTTTACTCATCATTCGGGGTAAGTTATTAAAGTCGGTGATTAGTAGGGATAGCATGATATTTTTGATTATATTTGATAATTCAACGTTTGAAAGATGGTCTAGTTTATATAATTGTAGTTTTTTATAATAATGATTGAATTTGGGCTCTAGGTTTGATTCATTGATCATTTGAGTAGGGTTACCAATTTTTTTGGTTAGTTTTTCAATTTCTAAATTTGCTTTCTCTCTTTGGTACTCCTGCTGTTTAGTTAATTGTTTAATTTGGTTATTTAGATAAGCATTTTCGTTGGATAACTCGTCGTTGTCTTTCTTAATCATCATATACTTATATTTTGATGAATCATTTTTCAAAAAAGCATTTTCTTTCGCCAATTGTTCGTTTTGTTGTTTGAGTTTTTGTAATTCCAGCTTGATATCATTGTATTCTCTCAGTTGTGGAGGAGTAGTGATTGCCGACTCTTCCATTGATCCCAAGATCGAATCGTCTCCACTATCCTCTTTCCATTCTTCCAAGTATGGTTTAATCATTTTGAATAACTCTTGCCCAGATACCGGCACATCTGCATTAGCGTCTTTATCCACCTGTTCCAAAGTGCTTTCGCTTTCGATGGAATGTTTATCAAACCCTATTTTGTCGAGTGAGCTCCTTTGGAGCTTGCTTCGATCCGTCTCTTTCTTCTTATCCTTTTTATCTTTCTTATCAAGCGATTGGGCCATTTTCAAATACATCGATATATCATTGGTATGGTAGGTATTGGTAAAATCGTCCTGGGTCAGACTCACCTCGTCGGTATCGTTCTGCGAGAGGTGAAGAAACGACTCCGACATGGCCTGGGATACATCGTCCACTGTAGATGGTGAAGTCATAGCTAGCTTACTAGGATAAGTTGAAGCTTCGATTGTAAACAACGCGTTCGCAGTTATAAATTTCGATTTAAGTTGCACTTTCACAAACCACTCCACAAGTAAGGCCACACCGCCAACAGCTATCCGGTGTTGTAGCGTCTTACCCCATGACATACGGGGACTTACTAAGGTAGTGATACAATACACTCCATACTAAATAATACTAATATACTATTATATAGATATATACTAATATACCAATATATACCAATATACCAATATACCAATATATACCAATATACCAATATATACCAATATACCAATATATACCAATATACCAATATATACCAATATATACTAACATACACTAATATACTAACACATACTAATACACAATATTGCAATACATACCAATACATACCAATACATACCAATACATATATAACCTTCTAGTGTATGTACTCTACTTATCCTGTCGGCTGCTAAACGGTGGTGGCACTACCCTCCATCTGAAAATTTTTTTTTGACTACTTCAACTGATTAACGTTTAACAGTTACCTGATTAACCTTTCAGAGATTCATACTAGTCTCCTTACTGAATACTCCCCGCTCCGCAACATGGCACAAGAAGACTTCGACGTCCCTATGGACACCCAAGAACAAGAACAAGACGTTGACTTAGAAAAAATCAAATTATTACCCAATGCCTCTGACGATGGTACCTCTGCATCATTCCAAGTTATCGATGAAGACCACACGTTGGGGAATGCCTTGCGTTACATAATAATGAAGAACCCAGAAGTAGAGTTCTGCGGTTACTCAATCCCCCATCCTTCTGAAAACAAACTCAATATCAGAATCCAGACTTATGGTAATATAACTGCTGTCGAAGCTTTACACCAAGGATTGGATAACTTATCCGAATTATGTGTCACCATAGAAGGTAATTTCCGTGAACAGCTTGAAAAAGGTGATTATAAATCAATTGAACCTTAACCTAATTGTCATTAACTCCTTTGTATATTAAATTCTTTGCATTTATGTTTTCTTCTTATCCGTTTATTTGTAATATATGACTCTAAGTCTGATTCATTTGTAGAACTGTCGTTGGTGTATATGTTGGAACCAATATATGAAGCCGGCATCGCACACAGACTGCCCAATCGGGCAGTCAAGGCTCATCGCACACAAATAGAACCAAAAGAAAAAAAAAAAAAAAAAAAAAAAAAAAAAAAAAAAAAAAAAAAAAAAAAAAAAAAAATTCAAATAAAAGGCGAAGACTTCCC